TGCCAAAATGTTTTCCAAAGTGATTATACAATTTTACATTCCCACCAGTGTGTATGAAAGATCAAATTGCCTCTCATGTTCACTTAACACCTGGTATGGTCAGTCTTTAATTTTAGCATTCTACTGTAAGTGTGGTGGTATTACATTGTATCTTGATTTGCCTGTCCCTAATGATTGGTGATCTTGAGCATCTTTTCAGAGCCTAATGGCTATCTATCTGCTGCAGTAAAATGTCTTTATAAATCTTTTACCTCTTTTTTTGTTAGGTTATTTGTCATGTTGAGTTCTGCACACAATATATATGTAAATCATTTGATACATATATGTGTGGTTGTAGATGTTTTCTTCTAGTTTGTGGCTTGTTTTATAACTATTTTGGAGCAGAAATTTTAATTGTTTTAAGGCACAATCTTATATGTAATTTGTGCTTTTTTTGGTCCCGTTTTTAAGATGTTTGCAAAATTTAGGAACACTAGATTTTCTCTAATGTTACCTACTTGAAGTTTCTTAAAAAGTATTAATTTCTTAAATTTGAGTCTGTGGTCTGTTTCAAGTTAATTTTTGCATATGAAGGGAAGTTTGGACCAACGTATAATTTTTGTCTATATAAGAACTCTCTAATGTTTCAGCATCATTTGTTGAAGATTATCCATTCTTGAATTCTCTGGGTACCTTGGCAGAATTCAGTTGGCTATATAGCTGTGGCTTTATTTCTGGAATCTTTTGTTTCATACATCTCTTTTTACTCGAGTACCACACTGTCTTCATTACGGTGGCTTTTTCATGTCTAGAATCTAGCAGTGTAATTCTCAATTTTGAATTTTTTACATAATTCGTTTGGCTTTTCTGGGTTCTTTGAATTTCCGCATATACTTTAGAATCAGCTTGTCAATTCTTTAAAAAGAAAAAAAAATCCTGGAATTTTGTTTGCAGTTGTGTTGAATCTGTATTTCAGTTTTGGGAATATTGACATTTTAACTGCGTTTAGCCATTACTTCTTCAAATATTGTTTCTTCATTCCTCCAGTTTATTTCAGGAATTCTAATTTCACGTATATTAGACTAAGTGAAGTTACCCACAGCTCGCTTGTTTTCTTATTTATTTAAGTCTTTTTAATCTCTGTGTCTCACTAGAAAGTTTTTGTTGCTGTATCTTCAAGTTCACTCCTGCAGTTTTGAATCTGTTGTTAATTCCACCCATTGTATTTCTTTCACCTGTTTGAGGTAGTTTCATCATATGCATATGCTGATTTGTACTTAACAGAAGTAGAGGAAGAACCATCTCTAGCCCTCTGTGCCTCTACTCACAAATTCTAGCCTCCTTGAATTCACAGCTCTGTCCTTTCAATTCAGGGAGACAACCAGCTCTTGTTTGCATTTTTCTTCCTGTGGTGGAAACCACTGGAAGTTGTTAGGGCAATCATAAATTTCACATCATTTGTTTTTTCTTCACTCAGATTAGTACCCTCAGTTGCTTGTTGACCATTGTCTGAAATCTGTTGTTTCATTCATGTTGTCCAGTTGTGAATTATTAAGGTAGGCAGAAAGTAAATCTGGGCCCCATAACTTCTTCATAGCAAGTAGAAGTCTTAGGTATGTATTAGTGTCTTTTATATGCTCTTTTCAAAGTTTTCTTTTTTCCTGGCCTAGAATGCTTTACCCTTTTTTAAATTATTATTAATTTTTAACTGTGTTAAGTCTTAGGAATTTAACTTGGATAAACCTCATTTGTGAAGTTTTCCATTACTTCCACTGGTTGCTATTATGATCCCTCCACAGTGCCAATACCTGACTTGAAATAGATATTTTAATAAAGTTATGAATGTGTGAAGAAGATAATTGAAGTCATCCAGAAGAAAGTAATTAAGAGTGTTGAGGAGGACTCAATAATGTCATGTTTGGAATTGTTTAAGGGACTGGAGATGTTTAGCCTGGAGAAAGAAGATTCTGGAAACTTAATACCATCTTCAAATGTTTGGAGGGCTGTCACATCGAAGAGGGATTAGACGAGTTTCCTTTGACCCCACAGAGGTAAAATTAGGATTAGTGGGTGAAAACTGTAGGGAGACATTGTACCTTCATAAAAGGGAGACTCTTTAATCAATAGACTGTAAAAATAAAGTAGACAGCTTTGGTCATTCTTTTTCGCTGAATGCATTTAACCAATATGTTACAGGTCTACTCAAAAGAGTCAGTTCTACTGTAATAATGGTGGACTTGAAGTTATACTCTCAGCTCTTTAAATCCCATTTTTATTACTTACTGACAGTATGAATTTCATGGGATTTAGTTGTCAATTAATTGCAAAGTGCCTATTGCCCAGCACAATGTGATTAGTGCCCTTTCCTTCGTGGCTAAGCATTGAGAAGATAGATGTGAGGTGATTGATGAGAGTAGGTCTGAGATTACAGTTCTTTAGAAAACTTTGATTCGTGTATCTTAATTTTATTCTTGTCTCTGTTTGCTCTTTGTCCTTTGTAATGGCACTTATGTCATAGTTATTTGTATAGGTAATCTTAGAAATAATTCATGAGAAGGGCATGAGATGAAAAAATACTTTTAACATAGTTTTCTCTGACTGTGAATATAGAAGAAAAGAATTCAGGTCTTCTGCTTAGTGGAACATAAAGGTGTTGTTCTTGGGTGCCAGACCATTTATTTCATTCATTCAACGAATTGTTTCTGTGTATCTACAAATGTGGCAGGCCCCTGAGGATATAATAATAATGCTGAACTCTGCCTTAAGGAATCTACAATCCCCTAGGAAAATTAGATATAAAAAATGGTAACACACTATGATCAGTATTCTGATAGATTGAATAGAGGATATTAAGGACATACATAAAATGTGATTCAACACTGTCTTTAGAATGGATAGAGGTATCAGGGAAGGCCTCATGGGAAAAGATTTTATAAGTGAGGCCTGAAAGACAGTTATTCAGTGATAAATATTTGGAGGAAAGGAATAATCCAGAAAAAGGTTTATTGGTCAAAGAGATCATGTCACATTTAAGAAACTAAAAACCTTTAGTACTCCTGGAACATGGAGTTTGATGGAGTAGTAACAAAGGAGGATAACATGAGAGTTAAGCAGAGATTAGATTAAGAACATGGTCTTGTGACTAATATTAATGAGTATAAACTTTATCATAAAGGAAGTAGGAAACCGTCGGCATTTTTAAAGCAGAATCATTTGACCGGGTTTGTACTTAAGAAAGATCATTCAATTCTCTTAGTCAGGAGTTAACAGGTAATATATAAAACTGAAAAATCAAGAAATAAAAGTACGTATATGTGATTGAGAAATAAGCAGTTAAATATTAGAAGACATAACTAAAAAAAGAAGTTGTTTTGGGGGAGTTGAACTCAGGATAGAGGCACTGATCATTATTTTTCTCCAGTAAACCTTGTAGAATTATATAATTTTCTTGATTTTCACATTGTGTTGTATAGTGGTTGAGAGTATAGATGCTTAGGTAGACTGCCTGGGTTGAATCTTGTCTCTACTACCTATTAATTATTTCATTTTTCTGTGCTTGAGTTTTCCTATCTATAAAACTGGGAGGAATGACAGAGCTCATAGGATTTTTATGAGGATTTAATGAATTATACAAGTAAAGCACTAAAGCAATGTGTGACTGTATAATAAACACTCAATAAGTGTTAGCTTTAATTCTTCTGTTTTTTATATTACCTGATTACTGGGGTAATGTTCATTAATAACATCAATAGGTTTTAGGAGAATAGGTTCACAGTTCTTCAAATATATGTTGCCATACCATGTCTGCTACTAAAGCACTCGTAATTCTCCAAGCTATTAGGTTTTTTTTTTGTTTTTTTTTTTTTTTTTACAGAGGCATGTTTTTATTTATTTATTTGTTTGTTTGTTTGTTTTGTTTATACATGCACTGGGTACAGTCAGAAGCGCGGGAGGGTGAGAGAATTCACCAGAGCCAGAGTGGGGAGCAGAGCAGGCAGAAGGACCGAAGTACACTGCTGAGGGGAGCAGTGGGCGGCAGGAGAGGTCTGCGCGCCATGTGGGACCCTCCTCCGGTGGCCGGGGAGCAGCCGGGGATCGAACCGGCGCCGCAGAGGCTGCGGGCAGCTTCGCAACGGAGCGCTCAACCGCTGCGCCACCGGGGAGGCCCAAGCTATTAGTTTCATATGTCAAGACTGTTCAGGTACTGATAAAAAAGAACAGACAATTTTACAGTATTAGTGGGGTATTTTTTTTTTAATGTTGCTTTTAGGAATCAAAAGAACAAACAGACCAAAAAATCAGAGGAGATGCCAGTTTTATCAACATGTTTATTAATATGTACCTATTGTACATATAAGCAATGTTGTATCTAACAACTAGAGGGTACATACTCTTTCAGGAGTACATGGAACATTTGTAATGTAAAATGCCCAAAGAAGTGTTCAGATATTAAAGGGTGAAATTGTGTTGATTATGATGTCTTTTTACAGTGCATTTAAGCTAGAAGTCAATACAAAAGATAAGTAGAAAAATTAGGTAACCATACAGTTAGAAATTAAAAGATATGCTTCACAAACAAATCACAGCAAAAATGACTCAGATGCTCTGCAAAATATAATGGTTACTCAAAAAGGAAGTCAGTAGAAGGTATCATGTTTACAATGAATACCTTAAGTGGAGATCATACTCAAGTGCCAGTAGTTGCCAATGAGTTAATGAGCAGAATGGAAACTGTTGCAGGTCTATCATAAGTAGTCATCCTCATTGTCTAACAGGCCACCTCCTAATGAAACTATATCTGTTTGTTGTCATGAAGGAATGTGGATCCATGGTGTCAGATCTTATTTTTCAAAATATGTCGTATATTTGTCAATACAGAAATTTTAAACACTGTGCAAGTAATACAAATCAAGACTGTGGTTAAGAATCTAGTTACCACACTATTAGTTTGCAAACAACATTAAAAGGGTATATAATTTTGATGAAATAATTATGTATTTTTCTTTGTGTTTTACATGTAGTCGACAGAGGTACGTTCTTGGAGACACAGCAATGCAGAAGATGGCCAAGTCCCATGTTTTCTTAAGTGGTATGGGTGGTCTTGGTTTGGAAATTGGTGAGCAATTTTTCATAATTTTATTTGACTTTTTGAGCAACAATATTTAAAGAATTTAACTCCATTTTATATTTTTATTAGCTTCAGAACTTTGATGAGGTTCAGTTTTGGTTCTTTTGGCAAGGCTATTTATTATATTGTTACATTTTTCCACAAGAAACCAGTACTGACTCTTTGAGCATCAGTTTCTCTTTTTGTAATGTTATTAACCATTAATGGTTATTCTCCCTATCCATTCATTCATTATGATAGAGCATACTTATATATTCTGGAAGAATGAAATTTCAAGAGTGATTATCTGAGTGTATTATGATTGTGGAAAATAACATTTTTTCCATTTTGTTTGTCTGTATTTTCTAAGGAACTTGTATTTCTTTTTTTTTTTTTTTTTTAGTAGAGGCATGTTTTATTTATTTTTGTTTGTTCGTTTGTTTATACATGCATTGGGTACAGTCAGAAGTGCGGGAGGGTGAGAGAATTCACCAGAGCCAGAGCGGGGAGCAGAACAGGCAGAAGGACCGAAGTACACTGCTGAGGGGAGCAGCGGGGCGGCAGGAGAGGTCTACGCGCCATGTGGGACCCTCCTCCGGTGGCCGGGGAGCAGACGGGGATCAAACCGGCGTCGCAGAGGCTGCGGGCAGCTTCGCAACCCAACGCTCAACCGCTGCGCCACCGGGGAGGCCCAGGAACTTATATTTCTTGAGTAGTGAAAAATTAAAATTTTCAGTCAGAGATGTGATCAAGCTCCTTGAAGACATATCTAAATTGGATATCTAAACTAACACATTAAGCTGTTTCAATTTCTTTTTTCTTTTGTAGCAAAGAATCTTGTTCTTGCAGGGATTAAGGTAAGTGATAAATGTCCTTGGTAAGAATTGTAATTATGTCTTTCCCTCTTCCCCCAATCAGTAGTTGTCATTTTGTTTACACTTTGGCTTAATTATTGCTTCTCCATTTAGTCGCAAATTCAATGCTGTAATTTCCTCTTTTTAAAAAAACTTATTATAGAAAATTTAAAGCATATGCAAAACTAAAGATTAGTTTTAACAACTCTATGTACCCAACACAGCTGCAATCCCATCCCATAGACAAATCTTACCTAGTCCCAAACCCACACACATTAGCCCACAGACAAATTTGTTTAATGTATCTCACCCCCATTCCCCACTATACCCAAACCAACAAACTATTTTGATGTAAATCTCAGGCATCCTCTTATGTCACTCTTAAATATCTTCATATATAGTTCTAAAAGATAAGAGTACCTTTCGAAAACAGAACCATATTTCCATTTTCATGCCCCAAAATTTAACAGTTCCTTAATGTTGTTGTATTAGTTGTCTATTGCTGCAAAACAAATTATAATTAAAAGTTAGCAACTTAAATGTATTATCTCATTTCTCAGTGTCAGAAATTGGGCATGACTTAGCTAGTTTTCATCTGTTAGAGAATCTTTTAAAAGGCTCCAGTCAAGATATTGGCAGGCCTGTAGTCACCTCCAGTCTTGACTGGAGAGTGATCTGTTTTCCAACTTGCTCATGTTTTTCATGGGTGGTTGTACTGAGGCTGTTAGTTAAAGGTGACTCTAAGTTCCTTACCAAGTGGTCCCCTCTATAGACCAGCTCACAATATCAGTTACTTCATCAGAGTACGCTAAGCAGGAAGGCAAGAGAAGGAATGTGCTAGTGAGATTAAGCACAGTCTTTTATAGCCTTATTTCAGAAGTAACAGTCCATCATCACTTTAACAGCAAGTCACTAATCCCTATACTTGAGAGAGGATTACACAGAAACCTGAATACCAGTAAGTAGGACTGATTGAGGCCCTCTTAGAAGCCTGCTACATGTTTTCACGGTTGTCTTACAAAATTACTTTAAAATTGTTATAGTCAGGATCCAAGTAAAGTCTATGCTGAACTTGATTTCTTTTCACCTAGGTTTCTTTTCCCCTGACTTTTTTTTTTCCCTTGCGATTTACCAGAGAAATCAGGTCATTTATTGTATGTATCTATACCCTATATTTCTTATAAACTGGTAGTCATATCCAGAGAGTCAGATTTAGATTTGATTCTTTTGACATGAATGCTTCACAAGTGATACTGTGTACTTTGAATTGGGAGGATATAATACTCAATTCTCCCTCTTTTTGTAATTATTATTAGTCATTAGTGATCATTGCCTGGATTTTTTATTTTATTAGTGATAGTGGTGATATTGTAATTTTATCATTGCTTCTTCATTTATTAGCTGGAATAGAATAATATTTTAGAAAGAAAATTTTCTGTTTGTCATTTATTTGGTTTCATTATAGTTTATACATGATCAAAAAGCAGGGTATTTCTCCACTTCTCTTACCAGTTTCTAATTTAAGTGGTTTGTGATCACTCCGCAATAGTGACCAGTATACTTGTATATTAGAGGTGGGAGTATGGTCTTTCTGAAGCTCATTTTTTAAACTTATTTGATATGTTTTGATGCATTGTAGTTCTTGTTGATACACAAATGATTTCATCTTGTTGCGATATTCAAGTTCTTGGGTCCTTTTGACACAATCCTAGTGCTCTTTGATTGTCAATGTTTATAAAGTTTTCTAGGTTGAACAGAGTTAGAATATTTATCATGAGTAAACCCTAAACTTCCTGATTCACATTTAGGATTATAGGGCATTTATTTCTTTGATTTTATATTTTTATCTCTCCTGTTAACTATATGGATTTGGGTCCTGATGGCATTTTGCTTTGGATTTTTAAGAATGGTTTTCTTTTTTTAATTTAGTTTAGTTTTACTATTACTTGAGAATTTCACAGGTCAAATTTTTTTTTTAAAGATTGATTTATTTATGCATACAATAACTGGAATAGGAGCCAGAGGTGCAGGGAGTGAGAGGATTCACCAGAGACAGAGTGGGGAGCAGATCAGGCAGACTGAGGGGAACAGCAGGTGAGACAGGAGAAGTCTGCTGGGCCATGTGGGTCAACTCCGTGGCCGGGTATCAAACTGGTGCAGCACTGGCTGCGGACAGCCTCATAAGTGTTAAGACTTAATCCCTTGAGCCACCAGGGAGGCCTCTACAGGTAAAATTTTTAAAACAAGTCTAACTTTATTTCTCCCATGTGTCCTCCTTCCCTTATTAGGGTACATCTTTTCATTCGGTTTTTAAACATTAAAAAAAGCATACATATCAATGTGCATATCTGTATATGTATGTGTGCATATTTATTCCTACCTGTCTTTCTTAAAGTGCTATACTTTCCTTCACCTTGCTTTATCACTTAACAGTGTATCTGGAATTACTCCATAGTGATAAATATATATATATTCATGTATATTTATTTATATTTATGTATATTTACATATACTTATTAATATTTGCTTGCTTTAGATTCATAAATATTTTATTCTTTTGTATAGCTATGTGTACATTGTTTGAGTGTATCATATATTATTACACCTAGTTCTCCATTGGTGAACATTTTGATTATTTCCAGTCTTTTTGCTCTTAGACATAGTGCTAGAGTTAATCCTCTTGTACATATGTCTTTGGTATATCACCCAGTGTGTCTTCGGTACAGTTTCTTAAAAATGAGTTTGTTGTGTCGATGGAAATGTCATTTTGCTAGAAATTACCAAATGCCTTCCTCTGCACCTTTACATTTCCACGAATGTATAAGAATGCCTAGTTAAACTCACTCTCACCAATAGAGCGTATAGTCAAACTTTTCTCATTCATCAGAATGAGACAAGCTATTCCTCTCTAGAAAGGTTAAATGTCTTTACATCTTTTCAAGATCCCTATGTATTTCCTTTGCAGTGTACTCCGTATTCATATACCTTGCCCCATTTTCTATAGGATTTATGGTTTGTAATATAAATGACAAAAATTTTTATTCAGTTAGCCACTTATCTTTCTTAGTTTGAACATGGAGTATTTGGAAATGTTCATTTATGTAAATTATTTTCATTTTTGCATGGTGATTTTTATAGCATGCTACTTTCCTAAATTTAAATTCTCTTGCTGTATAAAGTAGTTTTTCCATTAATATGGAAATTCATAATATTTTGTGTTATCTAGTGTAACATTACAATACTTCTATTACAGTATAAATAGTATTGGGGAGATTGCACATCTTTGTCTTATTCCTGTCTTTAACAGATATTTTCTTCTTTTTTTGAAGGCACTTACAATTCATGATACAGAAAAGTGTCAGGCATGGGATCTAGGAACCAATTTCTTTCTCTGTGAAGATGATGTTGTTAATATGAGAAACAGGTGAAGATATTTTGTTGTATTATAAGATTTCTTTTTTACTCTTACAATTAGAATATTTTCTTTATCTAATTGAGTTCATTATTGAACTCATCACTATAAATTTGTGCTATTATAGATAGATAAGTATTGACAAATACTTATTTTATGTTTTTCAAATTTTTGATATGCTCACATTGCTACCTAGGAATGAATATTTTGTAAGATTGTTAAAGGAGGACTTTATTATTGGTGAATCATTAGAAGGCTTAAGGAGCTTGGCCTTGGAACTATAAAAGGCACATTTTGAGATTGTGTGGCTTTTTATAGAGTGTGGTTGTATGCTACTTTCCAAAATCATGTAGTTATCTGTAAAGATAAATAAATCTTGACCACTTTCTTGTTCTGAAGTTCATTATGGTCCCATTGAAATTTTGTAACTTTTAGCTTCCTCTGATGTCAGCAAAGTGTCCAAATTTGAGAGATTGAGTATATAAAAAAAAAGAATAACAAAGGTCACTTATTTATTTTTTTAGGGCTGAAGCTGTACTTCAACATATTGCAGAACTAAATCCATACGTTCATGTCACATCATCTTCTGTTCCTTTAAATGAAACCACAGATCTCTCCCTCTTAAATAAATACCAGGTTGGTACTCCATTTTATATTAGAGGTTATTAGCAGATTCCAAATAAATCATTAAATATTAATATGGTATAATTAATTAAATATTAAAATGGTATAACTCATTAAACCTAATCTATTGATCCAGAACAAAAGATTTCAGGTTAAAAAGACTTCTATTAGAATAATACCTTTCAAATACTCCAGTTCAGGAAAAGGCTATGTACAAAGCAATTATAGTAGTTTGTCATTTTCACAGTATTATTTATTAAAAAGCTGCCCAAAACTGAATGGCATTATAGCAACATGCATTTCTTTCTTTCTTTGCATCTACAAGAGTTAGAGTTCAGCTGTTGTAGACTGAACTTGAACTCCAGACACTGATCTGCTTAAGTGCCTCTCTTCTGGGATCAGGAGGCTACCTAGGACATGGTTTTTTGGCACTTGCAAAAATGGAAAATGGTAATCCAACTAAGCACATTTCAAGACTTGGTTCACATTAGTTCCATTAATATGTCACATCCAAGGTCAAGAGTAGGAAAGTACACTCTGCTCTTCCTAAGGAAAGAGTGATGCATAATGTGATTACAGAGAAATAAACACATGGATCAGTAATTCAATCTTCCTTATGTAACAACAAAAAACTTTCAGCATTTTGGATATTCTAAAAGTGACTGGGTTGACTCTGATTTTCCCTGTGATGAAATTATGTTTCCCATTTGTCTAGGAGAGAACACTCCTGTATTTTCCCTCTACTGTCAATACTTATGGCATTACTGAGACCATATGTGTGTGAATTTTTCCCTCACACCAAGCAGTTTTCCAACTCTGCTGATATTTATCCGGATCTCAATACAATTCTAATATTAACTGTAATTCAGTTCAGTTTTAACTATCTACCTGGATATAACATCAGATCCCATATGTTAAGGGCTCAATTTCACAAGATTCCTCCCCCTGTAGACACCAACCCAAGACCAGGCTGTTAACTCTGCTAATGATAAACCAGAGGTTTCCAGAATCCACTCCTCTAGTTCAATTAATTTTCTGTATATCAACTCACAGAACTCAGGGAAACTATGCATATTAGATTACTGCTTTATTATTGAAAGATATAACTAAAGAACAACCAGATGGCAGAGGAGTATAACACAGGGCTTGAAGAGAGGGGAACAGAACTTCTGTGCACTCTCCAGGGATGCAAGTTCCCAGCACCTCCCCATGTTCACCAACCCAGAAGCTCACTGAGTCTCTAGTTCAGGGATTTTTAGGGAGGCTTTAGCATGCTGCCACAGGGATTAAATCATTGACTGTTGGCAATAAAGGTGATCTCCAGGCCCCTCCCCCAACTCAAAATAAGGTAAGTACTTGGAGGCCAATAATGAATATATAGCTAAAAGAAACCAGTGAATATTGACTATGGTCACTCTCAAGGACAGAGTTTACCTATAACATTTTCTGGGAATTAATAGTCACATGGGATACAAGATACAAAATAGGTCACATGAAATGGAGAAATGGAATTGAGACCTCCCTCTTTGTAAAGCTGGAACTTCAGAGTTATACCTCAGCAAAGTGTGATAAGAACAGTCTTTGCCCATTAGAACAAGAAGCACATGTCTGTTTTCTCTTGAGCTCTGAATGAAAAAATCAGATCTTCCCTCCTTGGGAATTCATAACCATAGACCTGCCCTCACATGAGTTTAGACATCAACTTTATAAACTTTTGTGGTCTAACAGTCTCCAAACTGTGAACTTAACATAAAGGTAGTGCTAAGTTGGTGATGCCCTAGAATGCTAGACAGAAACAAAACTAAATAGATCTTGCCATAGTATATTCCAGTATATAAAACCCTTTTGAAAATGAGTATACATAATAACATAATATATTATGTATACATAGTAACAAGTCAAAAAAAGCAGTTCAGTATGAACGAGGCCAAGACAAAATTTAACCTCATAAGAAATTCAGGTAATAGAATTATTGAAAAGAGACTGTAAATATAGATGATCAAGCTGATTAAAACTTCAAAGAAGGGATTGAATTGCTAATATAAGTAAGACACTATTTAAAACAACCAGGTAAATGTGATAAAGAACCAAACAGAACTTTTAGAAATGAAAATAGTCTTAAAAATTAAACACAATCTATTAATAGGTTAAGCAGTGTATATATAACAGCTGAATAAGAATCAAAAAATAAACCTAATGAGGGCCTCCCCGGTGGCGCAGCGGTTGAGCGCTGGGTTGCGAAGCTGCCCGCGGCCTCTGCGGCGCCGGTTCGATCCCCGGCTGCTCCCCGGCCACCAGAGGAGGGTCCCACATGGCGCGCAGACCTCTCCTGCCGCCCGCTGCTCCCCTCAGCAGTGTACTTCGGTCCTTCTGCCTGCTCTGCTCCCTGCTCTGGCTCTGGTGAATTCTCTCGCCCTCCCGCGCTTCTGACTGTACCCAGTGCGTGTATAAACAAAAAACAAGCAAAACAAATAAATAAAAAAAAAAAAAAAAAAAGCCTCTATAAAAAAAAAAAAAAAAAAAAGATAAACCTAATGAGATTACTGTGATTGAGAGTGTAGCACACTGAAATAAGAAAATATGGGAGAGAAATTTAAAAAAATGAGACCATAAATGAAAAGACTCAGTTCATGAGATTAGATTTCTAGAAGGAAAGCATTAGGAAAAGGCAATCGTCAAATTATGACTGAGAAATTTCCAGCATTGCTGAAACACAAATCAGATTCAGTATGCGCTGGGTTTAGGATATGATTTTACCCTACTTAAAAACTAGTAAGTTAGCCTGTTATGTTCCATGGAAACTGGAAGAAAACAAGATTCTTGGGTTAGAGACTAAGAAATTTATTTCTCAGAGCATGGGAAGTATAGAATTATTTGATTAATTCTTTTCTGTGCATCCCCTTCCTCCATATCCTACTGTTGTAATTTAGAGAACTCAATGAATTACTTGTGTAGCGGGTTTCTTTCTTCTTTATAGAAGAAAAACACTGAACTTGAGGTACCTGTGGAGTTTTTCGTTTGTGTGCTTTTTTTTTTTTTAAGCAAACAGTAAACAAGTTTACTTTCAATTCCAGGCACAGATACTACCTCATTGCTCATGTTTGTACAAAACAAATATAATTCTGAGAAATGGCTCAAATAAAAAATGGTGAGCCTTGCATTCACGGCATACCCAACAATAACGTGTAAAAAGTGAAAGATCCCTTATGAAGAAGTGTTCTCCTGTAGCAAGCATACCATATTCTGAGTCAGAAAAAATATAAAACTAAATTACAATTCTATATTTATCATGAAACTATTATCTAATTCCTGGAAACCAGTGTTATGGACTGAGATTCTAGTTCTACTTTTATCACTTCATAGACAAATGACTTAAACTATTAAACCTCTGAGTCCAAATTACTTTTGATAAAATCTAATTATAAAGCTTTTCAACTTACCTCACAGGGTGATCATAAAAAAGCATTGCAAATTATAATTTATCTTTGTAGAACTTGTTCGCTTCACTAATGACATTATTTCTTTTTGACGTAAGTTTGTGAATTTGTTATCTCAGAACAAAAAGAAAACCAAACAGGTAATATGTCTCTTTAAAAATGATTGTTAGCCCCTTAAACAAGCAATAAATTAATATTCCAGTGACTAGGTTAGTACTTCCATGACAGTAATGGACAAATCTCCACCTATTTAGAGTGCTTAAGTGCCACATAGGATACTAAGATTTGCTTCTAATGTTAAACCTATATTGGTAATTTAATTTAGTGTGACTAGGTTTTACTCTGTATATGTTTTACTTTTGCTGTTCACTACTTCTGAAGGTATTAACCTTAGAGTGGAATATAATTGGATGGTACCCTTTACAAGGAATAATGCAGACTGATACACTTCTGATTTATAAATTGCACATTACCAAAATTATCGACTTTCTAGTCTTAAATTTCTTATATTCTTCTCAACAGTGTGTAGTATTGACTGAAGTCAAACTTCCATTGCAGAAGAAGATCAATGATTTTTGCCGTTCTCAGTGCCCTCCAATTAAGGTAATAAAGTCACTTGATAATGACATGTAATTCTCAGCTATTAAAAAAGAAGAAATCTTGCCTTTTGCAATAACATGGATGGAACTTGAGGTGATTATACTATGAAAAATAAGTCAGAAAGTGAAAGGCAGTTATCAGATGGTTTCTCTCACATGTCACATACAGATAACCAAAGCAAATGAACTAGCATCACAATAAAAATAACTCTGAGGGCCTCCCCTAGTTGAGTGCTGCGCTGTGAAGCTGTCTGCAGCCTCTGCAGCGCCCGTTTGATCCCGACCAACTGGCAAGGGTTCCCACATGGTGCAGCAGACCTCTCCTGTCTTGCCTGCTGCTCCCTTCAGCAGTGTATTTTGTCAGTCTGCCTGTTCTGTTCCCCGCTCTGTCTCTAGTGAATCCTCTCACCCTCCTGCGCATCTGGCTTGTACCCCGGTTCTGGTATAAATAAAAAAATAAATCTTAAAAAAATAAATAAATAACTGAAACTCTGCAAAATATAGTAGTTACCAGAGGGTGAAGGAGGATGGAAGGGCAGGGTAGAGGGCATCAACCTAATAAGTGGAATTGCACTAGAACTTTAGCAAGTAAGGTGAGGCTTATACACGTATAGAAGTGAAGATATACCCCAACATTTATGTAATTTTATAAATCAATAAAATTTTATTTTAAAATTTATAACAACATAAAGGAAGAACTCTTCACTATTAGAATTTGTAGCTTTTCAGGTACATGTGCTTGGTAGTATTGTTTTTTGAAAGAGTAAGCAGGATAACTCAGTTTGTTGAAAGTTTGGTAGAACTTATTTGATTACTGTTTCAGTTTTCTTGCTTGTGATTGGTTTTGTTCATGTTTTCTATTTCTTCCCCACTCAGTCTTGGATTACAATATAATTCTAAGAATTTGTCCATCTCATCTAGGCTGTTGTATTTGTTTACATATAAATGTTCACATTAATCTCTTGTAAGTCTCTGAATTTCTGCTTGTCTTTTGTAACTCCTCTTTTATTTTCGATCCTATTTGAGTTTTCTCCCTTTTTCTTAGTAAGCATAGTTTTGTTTACTTTTTGAAAAAAACAGCTTCATACATGCATCACAGAATAAGAATTTTATCAATATCTTTAAAAGTAACTTTGAGCAAGAAAACAGCTTCACAGATCCTAAGAATGGATTGTATGTGTTACAAAACTCACTTTTAATAAGGCATTTATAATTACATTTTATTAAGAATCTGATTTTTAACTTTCATGATATTGATGAACACGGTCAGTTCCTCCGTTTTTTTTTTTTCTGTTCACTCCACTCTCAGCTTAGATAGAACTCTATTCCAGTTCTATTCAACTCCACTGCTCTTGGTAATGGGCACTCAGTTCTTCTTTTCTAAACTAAAAATACAATTCATTGCTAGACTACTAAGCCAAGATAATCTATTTCTTACATATCATGCTTCATATTTTTGGCAAGGCAGGAATTCTTGTTACATAAAATTCCTGGAATGTGTAATGAAGATGTGTTGATGTTATTTCTAATTTTGTAACACTAGGTATCAGCTCCAAATACCAAAATCGTTGATCCCTAATCCAATTTACAAATAATTTATCATATTTGTGACTTACTTTATATACCAGAGGATATACTTAGAAATGAAATGGTCATAAATGGCCTAAGATAGTTACCTCTTTTTAATTTTAATGTGTAAATAGATAAGCTTGAGCTTGTTTATTTTATTATTTTTTTTTTTTTGATCATTTCACAGTTCATCAGTGCAGATATACATGGAGTCTGGTCACGGTTATTTTGTGATTTTGGTGATGAATTTGAAGTTTTAGATACAACAGGAGAAGAACCAAAGGAAATTTTCATTTCAAACATTACGCAAGTATGATGTATATTGTTATATATGTATATATTGATTTTTTTAAAAAATGGATGTGAAAACTTCTTTTGGAATGGTAGTATTAGATGTATATTGTAATATGCAACATTTTTCATTTGTTTTGTGACAATTTTAAGACTGTTCATGAGGAAATATTTTGTTCATTTCATGATTGCATTATGTTAAGACTAAGCTGAAGCTAGAATGTTAAGTAATCAAGAGTAGTCTTGATTCCTTCTAACATAATAATTGATAGCTCAGCATCCTTATGTCATACTTTTTAATTTTAGTTTGTTCTGTCATGTTTCTGTGGGACATGAATTATGATTAAGTGTTTATTGAACTTTATTGTCTCATATCATACATGTATTACTTATGTCATAAGTCATGTGCCCTAACACTGATTCTAGGCAGATGCACACTTCAGTCATCAAAAGCTTTTCTAAGCTATAATTTCTAGAACACTATTTAAAGGGGAGAAAAGTTTAAGAATTAATTAACCTTCATATCCAAAATATCTGAATATTTAACTGCTCCCTTGACATGTAAATTTTGTTTTTTCATTCCCTAGAACTACAGATGTCATTTTGATCCACTTTTCGTGTTCTTTCTCATTAGCCTAAATCATTCAATTTATATGTACTATGTATAAATTTATATAACCATCTATATGTATAATTACATACCAGTAACAACTTTACTGAATTTACATTAAAGCTGAAAAGAAGTTAAATATAAGGGAATGCTAGTATGCCTTGACTAATACCGTGCTTCTGTTTGTGTTTTTATATATATATTTATATTTATATATATGTATTTTTTTTGAGGTAACACTGGTTTACAATACTACATGTTGAGTTATAGCATCACACCCTACTGTTACCAAACTACATCTACCATATGATTTATTTTAAAATCCAGTGTAATTTTGCCTTTGTTACCCCTTTTTAAGAAAAAAAAATCATTGAAAAATCCATTTTGTGTATCCTGATTACAGAGTGGTTTATCATTTCACCTTTAAACTTTTTCTAGTTGTTTTTGATTTGGTTTCAAGAATAACATATTATGTAGAATAAACTGCAAAGTATAGTTTGGGTCCTTGCATTGCATTGGTATTTTCTGCATGGAATAATGCATAACCTCATTATTCCATGCAGAAAATACTGAGGTTATGCAGAAAATTAGAAAATATTATAACTGTTTCCATTTAATTTATTTATAGATTATTTCTTCTTCTTAAAGTTTTATGAATTCTATTCTTCTTGAGATGCTGGCAGATTCACTTTAATTTTAGCTACATATTCATGATCATAGTTTTAATATTGTTATCCAAATCTTTAAGCCAAAAGAGAATTTCTATAATTACACAATTATGAGAGGGTAATTTTATTAGGTTGTAAATTAAATTATTATTGCCTTATTTGAGCAGTGTGTAGGACTATATATAATTGGAAAATATCCAGGCCTTTTTCCTCTCATCAATCTTCTATGGTGAGATAAGCCACCTTCTTCCTATACTAGTCTAATAAATTGGGCTACACAGTATTCTTTTACTTTATATTGTTGGGCAAGCTTTAAATTTGAAGTGTCCTGGCTTTAAATTTCAGCCCTCTTCTCTTAAATTATTTTGATTGTCAAATTTAGGCTCTCATTTTTATGCACATTTTTTATAGTGTGATTTTAAAACTTACTGTTGATAATTTTGAATGTTCTTTAAGTCACAAGAATTTGTGAAATATTTGAACTCCTATTTAAAAATCTCTGAATTCCTCCCCAAACATAGAAATTTTATTTTCAGCATTAACAATAAGAAAAAACAAATTGATCACTATATTGAGACTTTTTTTAAAGGTTTGCTTTTACTAAGGAAGGAAAAACTTGAAATTTTGTTTGTTTTGAGAATTTTATGATAATATGATCCTTTTTGTGTGAGATTTGGAATTTGTATGAAAAAAAGAATACATGAACTCATTTTTGTATTGCTCTTATTTTAAGGGTAATCCTGGCATTGTTACTTGCCTTGAAAATCATCCTCACAAACTTCAGACAGGACAGTCCTTAACATTTCGAGAAATTAATGGAATGACAGACTTAAATGGATCTATACGACAAATAACCGGTAAGTTATTGTGTTTTGCTGATTTATATTTAAACATTATTTAGGGGGCTCCCTGGTGTTGCAGGCAGTTGAGGGCAGCTTTGTGGAGCTGTCCGCAACCCTCTGCAGTGTGGGTTCGATCCTGGCCAGCCAGCGAGATACCCACATGACATGGCAGACCTCTCCTGTCTTGTCTGCTGCTCCCCTCAATAGTGTATTTCAGTCAGTCTGCCTGTTCTGTTCCCCACTGTGTCTCTGGTGAATACTCTCACCCTCCTGCACATCTGGCCTGCACCCCAGTTCTTGTATAAATAAATAAATCTTTTTAAAAAAATACTTTAAAAGAAAAAAAAATCATTTAGTACATTTATAGTTCATATACTAGGTGTTGGGAACACAATATCAACTCAGACAGACCTGAGCCAGTTCTTGGCCTCAAAACATTCAATTCAAGCAAAGAAATGTTGATATTAAAAAGTGATGGTATGAAGAGAGTACAGGCGTTCTAGGATCATTAAATTTAACAAGGAAGCCTGTCCAGTTTGGGGACTGTAGTGGTGGGAACAGGATGTATTGATTAAAGTTAAAGATTACTTCAGTTTAGAAAGGTGATAAAAAAGAATATATAGACAAAATAATAAGAGCCAACAAAATTTAGGGAAATAAAATATTTAATAGCAGTTGGCAATGGGAATTGAGAAGGCTTTGTTATCTCATAATAAGTGACTGAAGATTACAACATGGGCAACTTACTTACTCAGGCAGTGCAAGAGTGTGTTTTGGAGAAGATAATGACTACAGTTTAGGTTTGTTGAATGAAATGGCAACTAAATATTCAAGTGAAGATAGATGTTCTTTACTGTGGCTTGGAGAAAAGGAATGAATGATAAGCCTAGATGATAATATTTAGATGATAAGCGATTGAAGGAGTCTCTTTTTGTTTTGTTTTGTTTACTGGACTAAAATGAGATCATTGCCCAAAGGAAGGGAAAGATGCCAAGGGCTAGAGGTAAGGAGAGTAAATATTTGAGAGTAAACATTATTAGGCATCATTTAGAGCCCATTTGAAGTTGAATATGATGATTTTTATAGTAACTTTCATCGACATAGTTTGTGATTTTCCCCCAACCATAGTGCTAGAGGACTCTTAACTCAAAGATGATCAGGTCAGAGTGGTTCAGTTTTATCTTTAGGGCATTTGTAAGTATAACTATGTGATTAATGTTAACTATAAATGGAATTGCATTTTTTTTGTTTTGACTACAAAATAGGTCTTTAGAGGGGAAAAATCTGTCCCTCTTATAAGCCCCTTGTAGAAAAACAACTTTGGATCTGCATTTAAGCATCTTTGGTAATAAAACTATTGTATTTTATTTCCCAGATAACCTATAAATATCTTGAAAAACAGGTTTAGATCAATGATATTAAAAAATTTGTATCTGATTTTACAAAAATTGACTCAGCTAATCATTTAAGATTATGATTGTTTTTATTTGGGGGTCCTTGCAATGGTAGCTTATGGTGACTGATTCAAACCTTAAGGGGTCATATAAAAGGAGGCACCACTGGATATCAGAGTGAAAATATAAGTCACATTGTATACCAGAATTCTTTGGACAGTGAGAGAATATTTAAATAGATGGACCGTTTCTGAAACTTTCTTTTCTTAACATATACTGAATGATACTTGCTACTTTAAGGTAACTTTCTATTTGAAAAGCATTTTTAAAAAGCTAAAACTTTTGTTGTAGATATTCATATCTGTGCATATTTTTAAATAAAGTTAAAAATGCGTACTCCCCTTTGCAGAGGTAAAAAGGAGCTAAATTTGATAAGTACTCTGTTGATCTTTTCTTTCTACTTAGTATATAAATCTTATGGAGAGAGAGGCTTGTTCTTTAACTTAATTTTTGAACTAGCAAACTGTTCAAAATGAATAAAGAGTAAATGTTCATAGTGAAGTTTTCTTCCCAGCTGTGACTCACCTTCACATTTCACCTATCCACTCTTCTTAGTTTATTGTGTGTCTTTCCAGGGTTAAAATTTCCGTATGCTCTTTATATACAAGGTAGCATATTATATATAGTGCTTCCCTTTGGCTTTCCATTAAAACAAAATACCTACATACTCTTTTTCCATCAGTAATTGTAGAACATTCTTTTTCATTCTTTTAAATTGTCTTGTATAGCTGCATAGTGTTTCATAGTATGAAACAAGTGTCACAGTATAATTTTAATTTGCAATTTTTTTTTTAATGAATGAGGTTAAGTGTCTCTTTTCCAAGTTTTAAATCTGTTTTCCTTTAATGTGAACTATCTGTCCTTTGCCATATTGAATTGTTGATCACTTTCTTAATCATTCCTCAGAACTCCTAATATGTAGGGCATATTTGCTACATTTTTTAATTGTGATTTGCAAATATTTTTGGTAGTTTGGCATTTTTCTTTTAGCTTTGCTTGTGATGAATTTTTTCTGTGCATGTATATACATATTCCAACTTTTTAATTTTTTCTTTTTTGACATTCTTTTGAGTCAGAAAAGCCTTTCTCACTTGAGCGTTTTAAAGAAATTTTTCTCTCATACTTTCATCCAATAATTTATAGGCATATTTTTTGACATTTAAAACTTTCATCCATTGGGCCTCCCCAGCAGTGCAGCGGTTGAGCGCTGGGCTGCGAAGCTGCCCGCAGCCTCTGCAGTGCAGGTTCGATCCTCGGCCGCCTGCGAGGGTCCCACATGGCCCGGAGACCTCTCCTGCCACGCCCGCTGCTCCCCTCAGCAGTGTACTTCATCAGTCTGCTTGTTCTGCTCCCTGCTCTGGCTCTGGTGAATTCTCTCACCCTCCCGTGCTTCTGACTGTACCCAGTGCTTGTATAAATAAATCTTTAAAAAAAAATAACATAAATTAAAACTTTCATCCATTTGAATAGGTATTTTCCAATAGTTTTTTACTAAAATATTTATTTAATAATATTTTCTTTTCCTCATTGGTTTCAGATGCCACTTTAATTATATCCCTTATGTATCTCCTTCTGGATACTCTATTCCGTTTGCCTGCCTATTCACGAAATAGTGTCACATTAAATTATTAATTATGTATACTTCTGTATTAATGTCATTATATTAATTACTGGTTTTATAAAGATTGTAATGCCTAATAATGAGCACCTCTCATTACTTTTTTTCTCTTCTGAATTTTCTTTACTATTTTTGTTAAGTCGTAAAGTTCACTTTAGAATTATCTAGCTCCCTATATTTCTTCCCACTTACCCTTCCCCCCCCCCAAAAAAAAAAGAGAAAGATTTATAGTGGGATCTCCTTAATTTTGTAAGGTGGAGGAAAATAGCACCGTTAGGCTGGTAAATCTTCAAATTTAAATACATCTCTTTATAATCATTTCTTGTGTTTTTGTTTTTTTTTTTCTTTTAGTGGTATCACCATTTTCTTTTAGCATTGGTGATACTACAGAACTGGAACCTTATTTACATGGAGGCATAGCTGTTCAAGTTAAGACTCCTAAAATATTTTGCTTTGTAAGTATTTTTTGCCAACTTAAACATTTTATTACTGAATAATGACAAAAGAGACAAGTTAGAACTACTCAGTTATCACAACAGTTAGCTTAAAGGCTGAATAGATTTTGTTTTTTAATTTTCATCCACTTGGAGGATACAGCTAGAATACTAGATGCATATAATTGAGGCATATAAGTTAACTTCAAAAGAACTGTACTTTCTGGAATCATCAAATCATAATTCTTAAAATTCCTTCCTAAGACAGAAGATAAAACTATTATTTTTTTATAGACTCAACAAACATTGAAGCAGTCTGTGTTTTATTATTTGTATTTATAAAATAAAAGGAATACTCTGTTTATCCTACTAGTTAATTTTGTTTTTTAAATATTTTATAAATTTCAAGTAGCTATATATGTTGGAAGTATAAGATAAATCCTATAAACTGGCTTTGAAAGGGAAATGCAAGTCTCTGAAGAGAGTGAAATAGAGACTACTTATATCAGAGAACAAAGTAGTCTCCTGCTGTTTTAATCCTTAGGGCATGTCTCAGTATAATACATATTTAATTTTCCTTGCAAAGTCTCAGAATTGTAATTTGATTGCCTTTTCTAGTTATTGATAATTGTAGTTCTCTATAAGACTTTGTCCAAGCCAGAGTTAGAGCAAAACAATAATTAAAATGCTACAGCTAGTCAATTCTACTCCTGTATTGCTTTCTTTTGCTATTGCTTAGATAGTTTATGTCTCAAATAAATTTCAGATTAGGTGGATTTTTTTTTTGTTTGATTGTTTTGTTGGGTTTTTGTTGTTCTCTATATGTTCTTTTCCCCACAGGGTAAATTTTAACTTTGAGTATTTATTTGAGACTTGTCAGGCATTACAAGTTTTGATAAGTTAGTATCAGAAAAGTATGACAGCTTTTCCATTAAAACAGTGGTTTGGGGGAATATACAGTTGTTCACCAAATCTTCCAAAATTAATTTTGTGAAGCTTATTGTCTTACTGCATTTAATATTAAAAAATAAAATGTGTTAATAAGACAAGGAGTAACAGGGGGAAAGGTAGTTATTTTATATTTCAATTAAAGCTTATTAGCCCAATCTTAATTATATCAGACCTTTGGGAGATAATCTGTTGCTTTTTGTGCCTCGACATGTAGCAGTATATTTTCATCTGAAGTAATAATAGTTTTTTGGGACTTTTTCACCACTTAGGAGCCATTGGAAAGGCAGATAAAACATCCAAAGTTCCTTGTTGCGGATTATAGCAAACCTGAGGTAAATAAACACTTTTAGGTATGAGACAAGCAGTGCATTTGGGCAAAGGGATTGATGCGTGATTATAGAATTTAAAAAGGAGGAAGCATGTATATACTTTCCATCAGATTATTTTAATGAAGATGTGGTATTAAGATATATCAGGTTGACTCCTGAGGATTAAAAACAGGACTTTTTTTATGGAAAAATTGTAGAATAATAGGAACAAGTTTTACTTTTATTACAGTATGCTTGTTTTGATAGTTGAAAGACAATTTCAATAATTTATACAAAGGTAATCTTATTAAAAGATCAGTTTCTTCCCAACCCTTGTTTTTTAAATCACTAAATATATTTTATAGCAGTGAATATATTTGTGACAAGGAAAGAATTACATTAACAGTTTCCGAATTTATAAATGTTGATAGGTGAAAAGGATTAGGTGATCTTGTACAAATGTTTTGTTGCTCTTATTTAGCTGACTTTACTGTAAATTTCATGTGGATAACTTAGTAAAAATAAGTCATACTAACTAGGATTGAAACTTGGATCTGTTGCTTAAATATTTGTAGCCTTGAATCTAGTATGTTTATTGTAAAAAATGAATTACATCATGTTTAAAAGCATTAGCACAGAGCCTAACAATCAAATATTGATCATCTTGTAATATTTTAAATAGGCACCTTTACAGATTCACACAGCTATGCTTGCCTTGGACCAGTTTCAGGAGAACTATAGTCGCAAGCCAAATATTGGGTAATGTTCTTTATTTGAAATAACTTTTTTCTTTTATATAGAAGAAGTTTCTCAAAAATTATATATTGAAAACTTTAAAAAGTAACTAAGCCCCTTAAAATCACAACACTGGATATACCAAACTATATAAACATTTTTTATGACATTCTGATCTTCTTTTCTGTGGAAGTAGAGAGATCAATTTATGAAAGTGGAATTACACCTAAATAAAAATTTTCTATTTTGAAGTCTTCAAAAACTCTTAATTTTTAAAATTAAAAATCTGAGAAATACTGATTATGACTTGTATGTAGAAGTTTTTACCTTTTAGCCTGTTCAGTTAGAAGTGTTCTTGCAAAAGTTTTCTGCCATGCATATTTAAAGTAAGTCTTCTTTATAAGCTGTCCTTAGATGAGCATGATTTTAAATCAATCATGTAATTATTAATTTGGTATTACCTTTAAGTTGATGGAGCAGTTTGTGCTGCCTGCTGTCAAAATTCCACATTTTTTGTGCATGTTTCTTAGATTTTAGTTTTAAATATGACAATGTTCATAGCAATTGAGAACATTGAAATTGGGGTGTTTTGTTTTGAATCCTAGATGCCAGCAAGATTCAGAAGAGCTAATGAAATTAACAACATGTGTAAGTGAAACCTTGGAAGAGAAGGTGAGTATTCAAAGTTATGGTCATTTAAAATTAACATAAATGTTCTACATATTAATATTCTTTTATCCTTTAGCTCCTAGTTTTGTTACTTTTTGACTGTGTCATTTGGCAAGGTACTTGACTTCATTCTGCTTTAGTTTACATATCTGTGAAATGGGATTGGTTTACTTCATAGGGTAATTGTGAACGTTAAATGATTAATTTTATAAAGTAGAACAGTATGAACAATACTGTTCATGGAATTCACTCTATGATGTACCCTTGGCTTTCCTGTAAATCATCTCTTTTATATATATACTACATATTTACGACTTTTAACTGCATTTTACATATCATATTTGGACATATCACCTGTAAAATTTTTTTCAAGCTTTGATGCCAAATTTCTCTGCCTTATGATTAGTTTGGGGGAGAAATTTTTAGTAGCTGGAAAGTTTTGATTCCTGTTTTCTGTGTCTATCTTACTAGCTTTGTATGGTAAACTGATTTTTATGCTTTTTTTATTTTTGGTTAGCAAAAGAATTTTAGATTTCAATTTATAGCACCCCTCCTCTCTGGGGATACTGAAAAGGAGTTTCTTTAATGAGTGATTTCTTTTGGTTAGAACTGTGTGTGTATCTTTTATATCTCTTTGATTTCTGCGAAATCCTGAACTTCCCTCTCTTCCTCCTTTTTCCTTCTCTGTCAAAGGATGTCTCCCCTTTTCTATTACATCATTCTCTCTCAGAGACATTGTTTTGCCGTAGCCAGTGTTGAGCTCTACCAGATTCCATACCTGTGTTTTTCGTACTTAGTATGGAACTTGTTTTTTTTTAAGGATGGTTTTGACAAAACTGTTTCGCCTTTGGGCCTTTTATTCTCTTTTCTGTGGTTACACACTTCCTGCCTTCTCTGCAGGCTTGCAGCAAAGTGTGGTCCAGAAATAGTTCTGTTGGGTTTGGTATTTATTTCTCTATTTACAGGTTATTTAAAGTTCATAGTTTTTTGTTTCCCAGTAATGCTGAAGCCCTGCCACTGGTTTATTTCTTTTTGTGATATGTATATCTTTTTCTGAGATTGTGTGGGGAAATTCAGACTTAGAGTGAACCAAAAGAACAACCAAAATTTGGATGTTTGTTTTGTTAATTTAAAAATTGTAGAATCTTGGGAGAAGTATAACCTTATGATAAGAATAAAGCTGTGGAGTTGGATTTTTGGGGTTGAGAATCCTGGCTTTACTGTTTATTTGCTATAAAATCCTGATAGGTTGCTTAATCTTGCATGGTTGCAGTTTTCTAATCTATATGACAGTGACTAAATTGTCTAGAATTATTTTGAAGATTACATGAGGATTTAAGATAAAATAACAGTAGGTGTTCTTATTACCTCCTACTAGCATTCTTATCAATGTTTTAAATATTTCTGCAGTATTTCTGCATTTAAAAATGGCACACTTTAAATGAAATCATAATCTATGTGAATTGAGATGAATGATAAATAATTTGAAAAGAATGAGATACAGAAAACTGAAATGGAATGAGTGGGAATAGTGAGGAGATAATAACCTCTCCTTTTATCACAGTATCTTTAAGAGTGTAATAAAAGCCATTCCTCTTTCCCACTTATTAGGTACATGTACTGTTATTTTGGGTAGAATTTAGGTAGGTAAGTTTTCAGATTAATTGAGCCCTACTTGAATCTTGAGGTTAAGATTACTAATGCTAAAAGAATAGAATAGCAAGAGAATGAGTAGCCAGAGCTTATGAAGAAATCTTTGTCACAAATAAGAAATTGTGCTAAAACAACATCTCAGAAATAAAATTTTCTATTATTTGCTTAAATATACTGAAAAATCTTATTTTGAGAAACAGTTTTTAGGTATGACAATGATAATTTTGTGATGATTGTTGCTATTAGATTAGTATGCAAGAATGCCATTACTCTTAACCTTTTCAAAATTATCTTTTTTAGCAATGTATTCATTTTTTTACACTTTCACTTTTTATTTACAATTTAAAGCACAAACTGATAGCTCCTTAGCATTTTTTTGTGGATTTTTTTTAATGTATGTTAAATATTTTTCCATAGTTTTCATAAAAACTTTATTGTATTCTGACTGTTAGTAAATATTGACTGATGCTACAGAATTGTTCTTTAACAAAAACTATAAATGGTAAATAATTCCATTTAATTCTAAATGGTGCCCTAGTGTACCATACAAGTCAAAAAGTAAAAATGAGCTGGTAGTGTTAGAGAAATAATGCTATTGGGACTTTCATTATGAAATTGGGACTTTTTTAACACTTAAAATTATTTAGTATGGAAACTAAGTAGCCTTTTTAGAAATTAAACTATAATTTTCATTTTACATCATTGAAAATTTTAATATACTGTGTGAATACTGTTAATAGTATTGTCTTTTATGACTTTTGTTTCAGCCTGAAGTAAATGCTGACATTGTGCATTGGCTCTCTTGGACAGCTCAAGGCTTTTTACCCCCACTTGCTGCTGCAGTAGGAGGTGTTGCAAGCCAAGAAGTATTGAAAGCTGTGACAGGAAAGTTTTCTCCTTTGTGCCAGTGGGTTAGTTTTATATTTTAGTATTTTTTGTATTTGAGGTTTCACCCACATAATGAATCTCTACTATGAATTATAATAAAGTATTAATTAAAATAAAAGCAACTTCACACTACCTTTCTGATACTTGTGAAAGCTGTAACATGCCAATAAGTCTTAATTCTATAATTGAAACTTACAAGATCTTACGTTGAAGCTATCGGGTTATAACCCAACGGTGCATTCTGGAATGTATTTCCCTCACTGTGTGTGTGAAAATGAATTTCCTATTCTTATAAATAGTCTCCAGCACTATTAGCATAGCATTCATGAGTTCTTGGACTCTTGAATTTGTTCCTTGTATTCTTTTGGCATCATGAGCTTTCAGATTGCCTTCCTAGATATAAACTTCTAAAAATGGAAAATATAGGAATGATACAAGTTTAAGAATTATGTCAGGTTAAAACCTCACAAGATGGAATAGAAACCTTCATTTCTGTCTCCACAAGAAATAACTGGCAAAGGCTATCAAAAGATAGTGTTCAGGCCCTTCCTATTTTGTTGAAACATTTTGAATATAAAATTTATCTTTTATGTTTTAAAAAGTACCCCATAATGCAGTTTGCTGCTGAATTATTTGATGTATTTTAACACAATTCAAATTCATTTGAAAAAGTCTAGTTTAGATATAACTGTTAACGGTATAGAAAATTTAAATTATTTGTTATTAATATAGATTATTTGTCATTATGATTAAAGAAATAACCAGCTGGTCATGTTAAAATTTAACCACATAAGTTATTTCTATGAAAAAGAGATAGTGCTTCAGTTCTTTTTTTCCTTAAGCTATTTCTGTTTGGTATTTTTAAAAATGCTAATATTGTGGCTTCCTGGATAATTTCTTCTGTAGTCTATATAATTATAAATGACATATAATAGACCCAAGTTTGAAAATAAATACAGACTAGATACTTTCTTATCAAAGAGTTATCAATTGAATTATTCAAATATAGCTGAAATTAAATAGAACTTCATAGTTTTTAATATAGTCATAAAAAGCAGTTAGAGTTAAAATTTCCTTTTGCTTTTTAAAATTAATGATGGATCAAACACATAATGAATCAAAATGTCTTTAACAGTCCCTTCAGGTTTAACCATAACTTTAACGAAAGAATATAGGAATGTATATTCTGTTTTCAAAACTCTGTTTTAATCTATTGTTTTACTCTGAATTGGCATTTTTATCCATTTTCCCTAATAATCATTAAATAACTACAGAAGAGAAGAATTTTTCTAATGGCTTAAATTTTATATCTAGTTATGTTTTTATCTTTTACTTCAAGTTATTCATTGAAGCAGCAGATGTTATCGAATCCCTAGGGAAACCTGAACGTGAAGATTTTCTCCCACGGTAATACTGAATTACAGTTGCTTTTTTCTTATTTGTATGTTTGTAAGAGGCAACTAAATCAAAAAAGTTTTTGTCTAAACATGCATTTGTTTTAGATATCTTTTCTCCTAACTCATTTATTTTTCCTGTTTCTCTACTTAAAGACTATTTTAATTATCACAATGAGACCTTATCTCTATATCTTTTTAGAAATGATATAAAAATGTTCAGTTGTAAGTGAGATTGGTTAGTTTCAAAATACTATTCTGATGTTAGTTCAAAGCAATTGTTACTGCAACTTTAATTTATATTAGTCATTCTTCACCTTTTTTGTTCAGAGATCTCTTTGAGAATTTGACAAAAATTTATGAACTGATTCTCCCTAAGTACATATAACCCAAATCTGCTTTCTATTTAAGTGGATTAACTACTCCAAAGCCCATCCAGAGACTTAAGCACCTTTATTAAAATCCCAGCCTTAGAAAAATTGTCTTTTTATACATAAAGAGCCCTTCACTTAAGACATTTGGACTTAAGATATTAACTGAGATTGGAAAAGGAAAAACTGATTCCTTTATGAGTTCTTTTCTTTCAAATAAAATAGTTTCTGTTTGGGGGAAACTTTCTTTGGGGGCTGGAGGACTGTAGAAGAGTATTCTTTTGTAAGTGGAGCATTAAATTGGTTTTAACAATAATGAAGCTAATCTTAATTTTTTATGCCTGTTTTCTTGGTAATTATTATTTACTTCAGAGGAGATAGATATGATGCCTTACGAGCCTGCATTGGAGACACATTGTGCCAGAAGCTACAAAATTTAAATATTTTCTTAGTAAGTATGAGCAATGATGATAATAAATTTTTTATAGTCAAATTACCATCGTGTATCATCAGGTTAACTTATTAAAGAAAATTTGAGGCTAAGCAAATAAGGTTTCTAACATAGTAGATAGATATTCAGTAAATGTTTGAAATATTGGTTTGCAGTCTTTGACCCACAGACTAAATTCATCCTGGTGTCTATTTCTGTAAATAAAGGTTCATTGGAATATAGCCATGCCTTTTCATTTATCTGTTTTTGTGTCTTTTTCATGCTATAATGATGTAATCAAGTAGATGTAATAGAAATCTTATGACCTGCAAAGCTGAAAATACTTACTGTCTGACCCTTAACAGAAGTTTGTAACTCCTAGTCTAAAGAATTAGCACATTAAAAACTAAAATATGAGCATGATAGTTTTGAATATTAAATGATCATCTAGAAATAAAGCTGAGGGTTTTTTTTCAGTTTTTATTTTTTTCTTACCAAATGAAGAAAAACATAGGTGAATTCTGCCTTTTTTTAAATGTCTTGATACATTGATAAGGAAACTCTCCAGTAGCATAAAACGCCTCTTCCTGATATTTGTGGGTTAGTTTTATTTTAATCAGTTCTGAAAATATTGGTGTTTTTACTAATCATTTTTAAATAATGTTTTTAAAATCAGCATCTATTGATAAGCATATGCATATGCAGTCTATTATTAATCAGTTTTTACATAAGTAATTTTTAGAGTAGTTATATCCATCAAATTAGTATTAAAATTATCTATAAAGAGGGGAACTCTTCCTATAAAATGTTGCACTGATGTTTATGCTACTTGTTTCTATTTTATACAAAAAAGGTCAACATTTTGGAATCTTAAAAGACCTTCCATTTTAAGGAAATTTACATAGAATGTGTTTTTGTATTTGTTTTATGCATTTTTTTTCTTGGACACTTATAATGGCATCATAAACCAGTTAAATATTTAACTAAAAAGAATCACAAATGTTCAGATTGTCTTTAAAAGTGTGTATTTTTTGTGACTTAGCATTTGAAGAAATTTAAGATGAAATTGCTCTTTAGTAAGAAGTTCTGATCTTATTAAATCTGATATATTTCATTTTTCTCCTTTTTAGGTAGGATGTGGAGCCATAGGCTGTGAAATGTTAAAAAATTTTGCTTTACTTGGTGTTGGCACAAGCAAAGAAAAGGGAATGGTAAGATGTAAATCCTTGACATCTAAATGTTTACATTTCTGTTGTTGCCCATTGTTTGTTTGTTTATTTATTTTTGATTGAGGTAATATTTGCATTCCACCATCGGGTATTCCACCATGGTGCACCCACCACCGAATCACCCAAGTCCATCACCATAATCAATTATGCTTCCTTCCCTCTTTGTTCTTACCCCTTTCCTACCCCCTTCCTTTTCTGGATGTTTTAGTTCTATAGTTAGCTTTCAAAGGTAAGTTTTTAAGCTTGTCTTTATCTGACCCTAACCTTAATTATTCTGTATTCCACATATCAGTGTTGGCATTCAGTATTTATCTTGTGATTTTAGCTCTCCACTCCTCAGTTTCTTCTCTAATTCTATGAACCAGATACCTGTACTACCTGCCTCATAATGTAACAGTTGAGGATTAGATGTGAAAGGACTTTGCAAACTATAAAGCACATTAATACTATATCTCAGATGCTACTTTTTAAATCTTTCAGATGAGTAAAGCTAACATTAGAAAGCTACAGAGTACTCAGGTATAGTTTCAGTTGCTGATCAGTAAAAGAAAAGGGAGTAATATAAATATTGTAACAATTTAAATTTTAAGACTGTAAATGAGAGGTGGGAATCCATGTCATTTAAATAACGTTATAGTTCACTGGTGCTGTTTAGCCTTTTACAATATGGATTTAATACATTTATCATGGTGTCTAAAAGTGAATAATTAAATGACTAAATTTATATAATTGTTCACATTTTATAGTTTATTAAACTTGGCTTATTCCACTTAAAAAGGTTATTTGGCAGTGTTCTTAAATAAAACTTCTAATTAAAAGTTTGACTAATTTGAGGACCGGGATATAGGAAAGTAAGGAAATGTTGTTCATTGGTATTATGGAAAGTAGAAGGGAGAGTTCAAATATCCTCTAATTTGTCAGGAGGAAGACAGAGGTTTTATTTAGTTGTAGATCTTAAGTCCTAAGTGCATGTTAAAATTTTGAGTATAATCACATAAAAATAGATGTTTAATTTCTAAACCTAGTGAGGAATGGGGAGGATTGTAATCGAAAAAACTTGATCAATCCAGTAGAAGACCAAAAAAAGTAGGAGTGAACTTTAAGTCTCTGTCACAATATTCACCTTTTCCACTGTACATGAAAACAGCCATGTACATAGATACTTAAATAACTTGATGGTGTTTTAATAAAACTTGAGTTACAAAAACAGGCAGCTTGCCAGCACTGTAGTTTGTTTAGCCTGTGCTTATTATTAGCAAGAATTCCTTTCAAACTGACACATGTAAGAAATTTTTCAAAATTAATTGAGTTTGAGGATAAATAAAATTAAGAAAAGCTAACTCCTCTATTGCTAATCCATTACATATTTCTAAAACATAATAGTGATGTTTTAACTTTGCTTCTATTATGAATAATTAGAAAAGTTTTAAACCAAAATTACATTTGGTTTCAGCTATTTGGTGTGTTCCTATGTTAAACATTAATTATAATTAAATATAAGTATAAAAAGAGTAATGTTGCAAACTGGAATGTTATTGTAACCTTTACCAGCCAGAATAATTTAGGATAACTTGTAGAAGTTTTAGTCATTCTGAGAAAAGCAAATTAGATTAAAATTTATCTGCTATGTAATTTTAGCTTTTTTGTTGTTGTTGTTAGGTTACTGTTACAGATCCTGACTTGATAGAAAAATCCAACTTGAATAGACAGTTTCTGTTTCGTCCTCATCACATTCAGGTGTGTTGCTGTTCCATTTCAAATTTAAATTATTATGTTATATGAAAAAAAGAAAGTTACTTTTTTATAAATACAAAATAGTACTTGAACAAGTATAATGAGTTCTTTACTAAAATTTTCAAATTGTCAAATAATGGGACTAACAGGAAAAAATGTAAAATTATTTTCTTTAATTTGTGTTACAGTTTAGTTATCACTTAGAATTTTTTGTTCTTTTGACATCCCTTTTATTGTAAAATAATGCTTGTTTTCAGTCTTTTTAAATAGAGATCAAAATATTTGTCAGAAAAGAAGCAATTTAGTCAAGCAAGATATCTTGCACTTTAAAAATTTTTTCACTTTATTATTGACATTTAATTACTCACTAATCTCAGTTGACTAAACTTAGAAATGTCATAAACAGAAAAGTAACTGAGGCAGATGGAATTGTAACATAATTGCTTCACCTATCCACATACAATGATTTGAATTAAAGGGTCCTGAAGTAAAGCCTATGTCACAAAATTCAATCACTTAAATTTCTGCATTTTACTTATGGAAAAATTATCAGTGCTTGTATATTCTTAATTAATGAGTTCTAAGAAAGTTCCCACTCTATATGTACACTAACAGCACTGAGAAGTTAAAAACAGATAGCCTAACAATGTGAGGAATTAGACATACCATTAAAATTAGAACAAATAGAATGGTCTATTGATATTTAGTGTCAGAGCTAGTACTACTAGAACTTTGATGACACCAGTGACTTAGTACTGCTCTCTAAACCTTTAAGAATACGTTATATTTGGGGTACTTTTTTTCTTTAAAAAAAATACTATTTTAACCGGAAGTAGTGAAATTTTTTAAAGGATTTTATTACAAAAGTGTTAAATTTCAATACCTCTGAGAGCTCGTTTTCTGCTCTTTGGATTTCTGATATTTTACTGAATGTTCTCATTTTTTTTCTGGGTATTTATTCAGTTCAGATCTCATTACTTTCTAGTTTTCATTCATTTACTTTTCATTTTTTAAATAAAAATTTTACTTTTATTTGGACTTTTAACAATATTTTAAGAACTCTAATGCAAATTAGCTATATGTTAGAGGTTTAGATATTTGTAAGTTTTCTGACAAATGTGCATTATTAAATGTACTATTACTACAATTAATATAATTTCCACAATCTGAAAATTAAAATTGGTTTTACTACTTTATTCTCACCTCATGTATATATTTCAGTGTAATAAGATTATATAAGTTCAGTCATAACCTGTATTTTCTGTTTAACATTTATTTCTTCTGTTAATTTGTTTTTCATTTAGAAACCTAAAAGCTATACTGCTGCTGATGCAACCCTAAAAATAAATCCTCAATTAAAGATAGATGCACACTTAAACAAAGTGTGCCCGGCCACTGAGGCTATTTACAATGATGATTTCTATACTAAACAAGATATAATTATTACAGCATTAGATAATGTGGAAGCCAGGAGATATGTAGACAGGTATGTTTTTGAAATTCAAGTTCATAAAGAATTGTCTTTGTTTTTCCTATTTCCTATATTTATATATTGAAAAGTTACTGATTTTCTTTGAATATTATTCCCTATTTGTTACAGTAATTCTTAAACCCAAAATCTTAAACATGACCTAAGTGGTTTTCATGGTTTTCTGCCACCTGTCCGCCACTCCCACATAAAATTTACCTATTCCACCCTGGCTCCCCATAGTGTAACTACACATTCCTTCTTTTGTTGCTGGGCTTCTGGAGCTTTTTTTTCCTCAAGGCCTTTTGTACATACTCTGCTTCAACCTCAGGAAGTTTGATAATCTTGTTCTAAAACTCCAGACTTATCATCTGCTTACTTATTCTTCACTTGCTGTGTTTTTTTCCCATCATCCCTTGAGTTTAAAATAAAATTCTTTCTTCAACAGACTTTCTTAGTAGCCCCCAAGTCCTAAATTAGATCTTTCTATGGTGATCTTTCACAGCACCCTGCCTTTTCCTTCATAGCATTTGTCTTATCTGATACACAAATTGATTTATTTCCACACTAAATCACTTATTCAGGAACTGTTTACTTTTCTATCACTATATCTTCCGTGCCTAATGTATGATGTCAGTAAATATTTGTTAAAATAAGCATATGATTGAATGCCTGTAATGTGTAGGCTTCACATAACATTTATTACATGTTATGTGACCCTTTAATGTTAGAGTGCTAGAGCAGAACTAACAGGGAAATTTACCGTTTGAGACTAGTAGGACATTTATAATCTTGAGTAGAGGAAAGGAAAAAAAAAAACTTTAAGAAATTAAAGTTTGTTGAATTATAGGCATTGTAAATATTGAGGAATAAAGTTAGTATTGTTTGGGATAAAAAAAAAATTGAGATGTTATAGTGGAATAGAACTTAGTCAGAAAATAACCAAAGAAATAGAAAGCAAGAGAGGAATAGTAACACAGTTAAGAGTAACCTAGAAGGAAAACATTGAAGTCCAGAATTTAGTGGAAGTAGTAGAAGATAGAGACAAAGTTTACTAGTTGAGCGACAAAATTTGGGGGAAGAGGGGGTTGAGATGATGAAGGTTATTTGATAGTAATCCGTTTTCTAAAATACTACATTTAAGAAGTGATCAGTGTATGCCCTCTGCTTTGTCTCTACTTGTTTTCCTGTTTGTTGTCTATTATCTTGTCAAATAGCCGCTGCTTGGCAAATCTAAAACCCCTCTTAGATTCTGGAACAATGGGCACTAAAGGACACACTGAAGTTATTGTACCTCACTTGACTGAATCTTACAATAGTCATGTAAGTGAATGTTTTTATTTTTTAAGATTTATTTATTTGTACAAGCATTGGGTATAGTCAGAAGCGCGGAAGGGTGAGAGAATTCACCAGAGCCAAAGGGGAGAGCTGAGCAGGCAGACTAACGAAATGACATTGCTGTGGGGAGCAGCGGGGGTGGCAGGAGAGGTCTGCACACCATATGGGACCCTCGCCCCCTGGCTGCGGCCAGCTTCTCAGCCCAAAGCTCAACCGCAGCGCCACCAGGGGAGGCCCTAAGTGAATGTTTTTTAAAGTAAATGTTTAAATGTTTAAAGTAAATGTTTATATTTCATAACCTTTTGTCTTGATTAATCAACAAATTTGATTTAGCTTCTCTAATCTTTCTGTTTTTGATCTGCCAAATGATGTGAATACATATGTGCATGTATCTTTTTTTTTAATATAGTTGAATTCTTTTTTTTTTTTTTTTTTGTGGGACCCTCGCCAGTGGCCGGGGATAGAACTGGCACTGCAGAGGCTGCAGGCAGCCTTGCAACCCAGTGCTCAACTGCTGCGCCACCAGGGGAGGCCTAAATTCATTTTTTAAATCATACTTTGCTTTTGGTCTTTCAGGAGTCTTATTCTTGTGTTACTGTTTTAATTCTCAGAGCTACTTAGTTTTCTAATAGTCTTTGAACTGGTGTCACACCCAAAGTCTTACTAACAAATCAGTTTCTCCGTAAGAATTACGCTGTCTATATAAGATATTTTATATAAACAATATAGACAACTTTTTTTTCAACTCCAGAGATAATTTTACAATAGTGCCAAAGTTGAAAAATCACAGAGATAGGAAATAATTGTATGGTTAAGGATTTAAAAATATCAATCCAAGTTGTAAAATTGAAAAAATATTTTTTACAAGCATAAGTACCCCTTTATTTAATGGATTTAATAAAGATTCTTTTTCCATGTATCCTCATGAAATCAGAAGTTTATATGATAAAAACATTATAATAAACAAAATTGATAAATTTAATTTGACAAAAATTAGATGGAGAAAATCATGGTATTCTGTGGTCATATTGAAGATTTTCAAAGTAGGGAATGTTACAAAATTCTCTTAAGTTCCTTTGAATCTCTCATTCTATTCTTTACCAAATCTTTTATGTTTTTTTGACTTAATACTCATAAAAAACAGAATCTAATACTCTCCTAGACTTACACAATAATTTGTGGTATTTTTTAAGATAACAAACTAAAATATAAATCTCTAAGTAAAAAGACTAAGTGAGTCATTTTAGATTGAGTAACCTATAAACCTAGCTCTTAAATGCCTTGTAATAGAATATGGGTTTCTTCAGTAGTACTTTTTCCCATAAGACAACATAGACATTTGTCATTCATTGTATGTGCACTTTCTTCAAGAAATTGTACTGAGCATTAAGGATGTATGATCCATGCATCTGAATTTTTCTCTTCATAAAGAAAGAAATTCATGATTTGCTAAAAACTCTTGGGAATTCTTAAATTGTTTTTCAAATAAGGAGTGTTGCAAAGTTTAATCATCACCTTGATTTCTGAAGGAAAAAAATATATGGTAGTAGGCCATTTATTACATGGTACCAAATACACAGATAGTAAGTGCTAATAGAATTTATATTTCTCATTACACTGCTATTAACAAATATTGAGTCTCTTAATATCATATTTTACAACTTAGCGGGATCCCCCAGAAGAGGAAATACCATTTTGTACACTAAAATCCTTTCCAGCTGCTATTGAACATACTATACAGTGGGCAAGAGATAAGGTAATACAGATATATTTTCCAAAGATTTTTCTTTGAAGTAGAAAAGATGGCATTTTCAGCTTTCAGACAAACTTATGTTTGGAACTTTTTCTAATTTTTCTCTTACAGTTTGAAAGTTCATTTTCCTACAAGCCTTCACTGTTTAACAAATTTTGGCAAACCTATTCATCCGCAGAAGAAGTCTTACAGGTAAAAATCAATAAATTATAATACAGACTTAACACTTTGTGTCAGTATAAATCTTGAAGTTTCCTGGATTTATTTAGTGCTTAAAAAGAGATTATGTTGTCATTGTTTGTATTAATAAGTGCATGTGAAATCTGGAAATTAGCAGATGACAAATGACCCTTCCTTTTTTAGTTTGGTTGAATTTTATGGAATTACCAATATTTGACCTTGTTTGACCCACAAACTAATCAAGATATATAATAAAGATAGGACAGCTATAAATCATAAAACAGCTGGTTTAGCTCTTTGAAAAATGCCCAGGTAAATTTCGTGAGTGAACAGTACTTGCTCAGATTTATTACACTCATGGTTAGACCAACTTCAAAAATATTTTCTTTAATCTTGTACTAAAAATCCCAACTTTTTAATGTTAAACATTTGTATCACTTGATCATATGTACAAATAGTACTAATAATTATAGCTTTTGATACTACGTTCATACATAGTACTAATAACTTAAAACTAGAAAAACATGAGAATACCTTGCAGGATAACAAAATTTAAAGTTAACATATGTGGTGTATAAGGAAACAAAGTAAAAACAGGCAAAACTAAACCAGAGCAAACTCTAAAAATATAACTATAGAGTTGAGGCTGCCAGAGTGAGGAGATTAGAGGGTGGGGAGTAAAAGGCAGAGGGTGCCCACTAAACTATTGTGGAGAATTATTGGTGCTTTGATAATGGGTGTGTGCATGATATACATCTAAACAGGTGTGAACGTATACCTCTATTTACAGTATTATAGACCAACATTACCTTGATAAAAAATAATTTAATATAAAAAAGGCCTTTATCTCAGTACTCAAGTCAAAATGAATGAATATTATGAGCACTTCTAATTCAAAATTAATTAAAATTGATATTTAAAAGAAATTTTAGAATTAAGATTTCATATATTCATTTCCCATTTCCCTTCTAAAAAGAAAAGAAAAAGGAAGATGAGAAAGAAGTGACTTGAAGTTCAAGGTGAAACAAAATTATAAAACAAATATGCTGGAATTTCAAACTTTGACTTATACTTGCTCTGTGTGTTTAATTGGAAAATGTGTTTGTTTTATTTTGTTTTATTTCTCTTATTCTAGAAAATACAAACTGGACACAGTTTGGAAGGGTGTTTTCAAGTTATTAAGTTACTTAGCAGAAGACCTAGGAATTGGTCCCAGTGTGTAGAATTAGCAAGATTAAAGTTCGAGAAATATTTTAACCATAAGGTGAGTATGTATTCTGAAAAGTTAAGTAGAGGTCTGACCTTGGCTCATTTAGTTATTGCCAAGTTAATTTTACTGATCTTAAAATATATCCTCCCCCAGATGATTTTGAACCAATCTCACACATTTTATCATTTCAGAATGCAAAATAATATGTATTTTTGCTGGTTTCATTTTTAAGGGTTAGATCTTTTAAAGATTTATTTATTTATACAAGCACTGGGTACAGTCAGAAGCGCGGGAGGGTGAGAGAGAATTCACCAGAGCCAGAGCAGGGAGCAGAACAGGCAGACTGATTAAGTACACTTCTGAGAGGAGCAGCAGGCGCCGCAGGAGAAATCTGCATGCCATGTGGAACCCTCACTGGCAGCCGGGGAGCTAACCGGCGCTGCAGAGGCTGCGGGCAGCCCTCAACCGCTGCGCCACCAGGGAGGCCCTAAGGGTTAGATCTTTTAAAGGAGCAGAATAATATGTGAAAAGATAGCCCCATTTTTATATAAAGAGGTAAAATAATATATATGTATTTGTGGTAGATGATAAGATAACCCCAGAAACCTCTAATTGTTCATAAAATGTAATAGACAGGGCCTCCCTGGTGGCACAACAGGATGAGCAAAGCTCTGTGAAGCTGTTGGCAGCCTCTGCAGCGTGGGTTCGATTCCCGGCTGGCCGGCCAGGGAGATTCCCACATGGCAAAGCAGACATCTCCTGTCGCACCCACGCCTCCCCTCAGCAATGCTTTCAGTCTGTCTGCCTGTTCTGCTCCCCTCTCTGTCTCTGGTGAATCCTCTCACCCTCCCGTGCCTCTGGCCTGTACCCTATCTATTATAAAAATAAAAAATAAATAGGGCCTCCCCGGTGGCGCAGCGGTTGAGCGCTGGGTTGCGAAGCTGCCCGCAGCCTCTGCGGCGCCGGTTCGATCCCCGGCTGCTCCCCTCAGCAGTGTACCTCGGTCCTTCTGCCTGCTCTGCTCCCCGCTCTGGCTCTGGTGAATTCTCTCACCCTCCCGTGCTTCTGACTGTACCCAGTGCATGTATAAACAAAAAACAAACAAATAAATAATAACTAAATAAAAACATGCCTCTATAAAAAAATAAATAAATAAATAAATAATAAAAATAAAATGTAATAGACAAAAAGTTATTGCAAGTGTGAGGAACAGTGACAGGAGAATGGATAGATGGAATACAAGAGTGGCTGGGAGACTTTACTATATCTTTTTATACATTTTAATTCTTTAACTCAGGTGGATAATGATTTTTTTAATGATTTTTTTTTTTTTTTCCTTAGGCACTTCAGCTTCTTCACTGTTTCCCTTTGAACACACGATTAAAAGATGGTAGTAAGTATAACCAAGTTTTGAAAAGAAAATTTAATGAATTTCTTACTGGTTGCCTACATTGAAAATAATATTTGTATTGTTTATTAGGTTTATTTTGGCAATCACCAAAGAGGCCACCCTCGCCAATAAAATTTGATTTAAATGAACCTTTGTAAGTATTTATATCCAATTTTATGTGCATCTTTTATTTTAAATTTCTTAAATGTGTATAGACTTACAATGTAAGGTGAAAACCTGGTTTTTTAATGTTAAATTATTGTTTCCCTGTTAATCTAAGTGTTAATATAGTCTGGCTAGCAAAGATATATCCACATTCTTCTTCCCACACAGCCTGTTTAATTACTTGGTAAAAATTACCTCATTGTTTTTATTCTCTCTAAAGTAAAACCAAACTGTCCACTTCTTTGACTTTATCCATAAAAAAGTAGTAAAATGTTTTTATCTAAAGAAGCCAATATGTAGGAAATTTTAGTAATGTGGGGGAGGAGCAATGATTAGTACTAAATATCTCCATAAGTAATCTCAAATTAATCTTCAAGGATTTGATCTCAGTTGAATAACTGTATACACTATCCATATTTGATAAATATGCATGCATACACACTTTCATATATATATATAATTTTTGCAATTACATTTATTGAGGTAAAGATGGTTTACATCGTTGCTTCTGCTTTGGGTGTTATAAGTTGAAAACTCGATAAATGTATATTTTCACACCTTGCCCACAAAATCTTTCACCATGTTCAGTTGGCTCCCCCCAGCATTCCCCACACCCTTCTCACCATTCCCCCTTTCTGATTGCCTCCCTTTTGCAGTCAGATGTCAAGAGTTTTTATTGGTTTAGTTCTGACTGACCCTTTGTGATGTTTATCTGTATTCCTCATATAAGTGACACCATCTGGTATTTGTCTTTCCTCTTCTGACTTATTTCACATAGCATTATCCTCTCCAGTTCCATCTTTGTATAGAAAATGACGAGAAGTTACCCTTTTTTATAGTGGAGTATATTCCTCTTTATATACCACATTTTTCTCTCTACTCTCCTGGGTACTTTGGTAGTTTCCATAACATAGCTGTTTTAAATGGGACTGCAGTGAACATAGGAGTACATATATATCTCTTTGAATTAGTGTTTTTGTGTTCTTCAGGTAGATACCTAGGAGTACAATTGCTGGATCATATTGTACTAATGTTTTTAAGAACCTTCGTACTGTTTTCCACAGATACTGGACCAGTCTACATTCCCACTAACAGAGGGTTACTTCTTCCCCACATCCTTGCCAACACTTGTATTTTGTGTTCTTTTTGATGTGGACCGTTCTCACAGCTGAGATGGTGTCTCATTGTGTTTTTAATTTGCATTTCACTGACTATAAGTGATGATGAGCATTTTTCCATGTGCCTATTGGCCATCTGTATACCTTCTGTGGAGAAATACCTATTTAGTTCTTATAAATAGATTGGTTTAATAGTTTCTGATTGGTTTAATAGTTTTCTTTTTGTTGGGTTGCTTGTATTCTTTCTTTATTTTGAGTATCAGCTCTTTGTCAAATGTGTTCAAGTATTTTCTCCCATTCAGTAGTGTGTCTTTTTTTTGTTTCACTGATATTTTCTTTTACTGTGCAGAAAGCTTTTAGTTTGATGTAATCACAATTATCTTTGCTTTTGCTTCTCTTGTCATTAGAGATGAATACCGGAAAACATTTCTGAACCCAATGTCATTTCTTCAGTATATTTTACAGTTTTGGCTCTTATATGATCCATTTTGAGTTAATTTTTGTGTAAGGAGTGAGGTGTGATCTGGTTTCATTCTTTTTTTTTTTTTTTAAAGATTTATTTTTATTTATTTATTTATTTATGCAAGCACTGGGTACAGTCAGAAGCTTGGGAGGGTGAGAGAATTCACCAGAGCCAGAGCGGGGACCAGAGCAGGCAGAAGGACCAAAGCACACTGCTGAGGGGAGCAGCGGGTAGCAGGAGAGGTCTGCGCACCATGTGGGACCCTCCTCTGGTGGCCGGGGAGCAGCCGGGGATGGAACCGGCGCTGCAGAGGCTGCGGGCAGCTTCGCAACCCAGCGCTCAACCACTGCGCCACCTGGGAGGCCTGGTTTCATTTTTTGGCATGTGACATTCATTTTCCTTTCTGCATTTGCTTTCATTTCTTTGAATTTCTTTATCATGACAATTTTGAACTCCATTTCATAGGAAGAAAAGATTTTCCATCTTTGTGTTTAGGTTCTTGATAGTTCTTCCCTCCTTATGTGCCATGTGCCCTTTAGGTCTCAAGGTACTGTGTTTTTTTGTTTGTCCATTTTGCTATATTAGATCTTCTCTGAATTTCTATATTGTCCAGCAGTAGCAAAATGGAAGCTTCAAGGGAAACCTAAGAGAACACATTGTGGGGAAGGCAGATACCACACCTGATACCCGCCCCCCCCCCCACCGCCCACCAACAACCAGGAAGCCTTTTGTTCACAGGCTCTGTTCCCTGTGGTTGCCTGTAGTTTTTGACTACACACTCTAGACACAGGTCCAGAGGTTCCAGAGTAGGGAGGAATGGCATATCCTCAGTCTCTGCAAAATCCAGAATGCCCCTGTGGAGAAGTCTATGGGCGTGATATGACTGGCAGTGCTGTACTTTCCCTGCATTGGGAAACATGCACCCCTGCTTCCAGTTTCTTTGTGAGCATAGACCAAAGGTCATGTGTAGACAGGAAGAGGAGCAGTGGGCATCTCCCCAAGTCTCTGAGAAGCCAGCATCTAAAAGGCCCCTGCTAAAAGTCTATGTGTGTGATATGCTTTTCCCTACACTGGGACTAGACATCGATCTTTGCTTGTAGTTTATTTACAAGTACAAAACAAACATGTGTGACTGGGAGGGGGTGTGAATGCATATCCACAGTCTCTGGAAAGCCAGCAGGCCCAAAGAAGCCCCCTACCATAAAATCTGTGTATGTGATATCTGCCCTAGTGGCTCTAAACAAGCTACTAGAACTAATCAAGTTAGCAGTAGCATCCTGTGGCATCCCTCCTAAGTACAGCTGGAGGTAGTATGGACCTAGGGAAGGTGTAGGTGTTCTCCTTAACTCTCCTGAGCAGTCACAGACATTCTTGGAAGCACAGAGACTAAGCCAGGGATGATCATGTGACTCTACCGAACCAGTCTCTGGTCATCCGGATGACTTTCGTTGAACTGTCAAACTGTGCTGTCAAAGTGAATTATGTTTTCTCCTTACCAGGTAGTGGGGAGAACATGGGGGACTAGGAGGAAGAGCTGATAGCTATCCTAGTGAGTTGTCACTGTTCCTGACATACTGGTCTTCACTGCCCCAGCTCTGTTCTAGATGTGGCGGATCCCTCCAGGTGCTTATCCTAGATATTCCTGAAGGAAATGGGCAAGGCCAGAATTCAAGGATCCTGGCTGTCAACCATCTTCTACCCTCCCTCTTATATGTATACATTTAAATTAAATACCTGTTAAGTTTCCTTTGAACAAATAGCTGATTAATTTTCTCATGTGATGCTTGCTTTGTTAGGATCCAGTCATGTTATTCTGCCTGCTTCTTGTATAACAGTTTTTTATTCTCAAGCTCATTTGCTTAGTTGTACCTGATATGTTTGAAAACCAAATTTATAATATTGAAATGAATTTTCCTCTGTTAATTTTTCTGTGTCTTGCCATTCCTTTCCCTTAAGTAGTTTTCCCCTACCCTGAATATTGTGTTTAAAAGGATAAACATTTGATGTCTTGTCTTTTTTTTTTTTTTTTAAGATTTATTTATTTATACAAGCACTGGGTACAGTCAGAAGCATGGGAGGGTGAGAGGATTCACCAGAGTGGGGAACAGAACAGGCAGAGTGACGAAATACACTGCTGAGGGGAGCAGCAGGTGCGGCAGGAGAGGTCTGTCACGCCATGTGGGACCCTTGCTGGCAGCCGGCAGCCAGGGATCGAACCCGCACTGCAAAGGCTGCAGGCAGCTTCGCAGCCCAGCGCTCAACCGCTGCGCCACCAGGGGAGGCCCTTATGTCTTTTCTTTATTGTAGTTTCTGTAGTGCTCTGGGCTAGACCAGAAATCATTGCCTAGTTTTTAAAAAAGAATAATTCTGTAACAAAAATAATAAAATTGTTTTCATCAAACAACATTTTAAAAGCTATGCTTTTTGGTGAATTAAACAACTTTGAAATTGTACATTCATAATTTTATTTCTTAATTTCAAAAGGCACCTCAGTTTCCTTCAGAATGCTGCTAAATTATATGCTACAGTCTACTGCATTTCATTTACAGCAGAGGTAAGCTATTCTTCAAGCCTTAGCAAAACCAGGTTAGGATGAGATGACATATCATCAAAATGTGTTTATATCATATAAGAATTGTTCTTTGATGTAAAGTTTTTATTTTCTTGTATTGTTTCCCATTCTGACATAGCAGAAGCCAAAAGTTCATTGCAGCTTATTAAGTCAAAGAAAGTCAAATTTTCTTTCTTTTTTTTTAATTTAGAGAAAGAAAAAGTTTATTAAGGAGAAAAGGAACAGAAGTAAAGTGGGACTTCTAGCCCAGGAACCAGGCCAGGGAGGGGCAAGAAAGCTGAAAGTCAAATTTTCATTTTTCAATTTAAGTAGTGAAACAAATACTCTTAAAAGCAGTTACACTTTATTTTTAAAACATTCATAACCTATGTCAAGTATAACTAGTCTTATTACACTATTTAATAGCAATTTAAAAATATTCCTTAAAGATTCCCTTTGTTTGACTTAGTGCTTTTGTTTGACTTATTTTGTGACAGTAGCGTATGCCTTTCAGGAAATTTGAAATAATTATGATCATATCCTTTCTTTGATATGATCTTGATTGACTAACAGAATCCAGTATAGTTTTATTTGAGAGGCATATCTTCATTAGTGACTTTTTCTTCACAAATACATCATAAAGCTAAATAAATTTATATACTTTTAGGTAGGCTCAATGGGGAAATATGAACCATATCTGTTATTTGGCCAGATATATTGCCTGTTCTAGGTCAATCCTTTCTGGAGTTAATACATAGTAAAATACACCATAAATATCTGGTAAAAAATAGTTGCATTAGTCTGTTATTCTTTTTATGTAAATTGTTAATTTTGTGATGAAACAATAGAGGTAACCTCAAAAGCAATATGCCTTAATTTTTCCTGAACAGTTTCTTAATAATGAATATAGATAAATAGCCCTTAATTGTAATTTAAATTGCTAAATATTTTCCTATTTCTTAAAGGCTGAATTACATTAACTTATTTAACTTCAATCAGTATCTACTTCATTGAACTCTGTGCAGGGAACTCTATAAAACAATGAAGAGATAGTCTCTAATCTTAAGACACTAAATCTGATACTCAAGTCCTCAAACTACATTTTTTTAAAATTTACAGAACTAAGAATTCAGATTTGTTGACTCAGTACTTTTTCGTACACAGCAACCTACCTCCAGCCTTTATGAACAAAATTTATATAGATAGAAAGGTAAATGTCACAAATCAGTGTGGTTTAGATATTCAGATAACAAATTGAGTATTTTAATATGATAACATAACTGTTTTTAGCTTTAGAATTCAGAATTTTAAAATGTTTCATAAAATTTCTTTTTGGAAAAACAGGACTTATCAACAGATGCTCTCTTGAATATTCTTTCCGAAGTAAAGATTCAGGAATTCAAGCCTTCCAACAAGGTATGTTTAGAAAGTCATTCCTTCAGCAAATATTTGTTTAACTTTTACTGGTATTGAGTTCCATTCTAAACCTGGGTAATCATATACTAAAACTAAAAGAGTTGGGATTTTGCCATGCAAACATGTTGGAAGTAGAAAGATCAGGAACTATTAAATAGAGATAGACCATGAAATTTAAGGTAAATAGGAAGTTTGGAAATACTAAGTAATTTTTCTTTCTCACATGTTAATTATATACTTTTTGTATGCACTCTAAAAATCATCCATAAAACACCTTTGTTACCCTCTGCATTTTTATTTTAGGGGAAAGGAAAACTTGTAGACAGTTGAGTTTGTACTAATTAATGGATTTGCTGAATGAAGTGTTCATTATCTGTAACTTATTAAGAATGAAAGTACAGGGCCTCCCTGGTGGCGCAGCAGTTGAGCGCTGGGTTGCGAAGCTGCCTGCAGCCTCTGCTATGCCAGTTCGATCTCCGGCTGCTCCCCGGCCACCGGAGGAGCGTCCCACATGGCGCACAGACCTCTCCTGCCGCCTGGGGCTCATCTCAGCAGTGTACCTTGGTCCTTCTGCCTGCTCTACTCCCCGCTCTGGCTCTGGTGAATTCTCTCACCCTCTCGTGCTTCTGACTGTACCCAGTGTTTGTATAAATAAATAAATATATAAATCTTTAAAAGAAAAAAAAGGAATGAAAGTACAGAAAGAATAACAAAGTAGCCATGTTTCTAATGAGTAAAGCTGCTAGAAATATGGCAAGGAAATGTGTCAGTGACATAACTGGTCTTAATTGCTCTTCATGTTTTCTCACATCAGTTGCTTCTTTCTGTATCATAGTTTGAGAGTAATAAATTATCCTGAGCAGTTTAGCTGTAGTTTTAGCATAGATTATATACTTTGTAACAGCTCCCTGTAGCCACTCACTAGGAAGCTTCAGGATCTGAGTCTTCTACTTAACAAATACCATAGCCAAAACATTCTGGCAAAAAGGTTCTGCTTCCTTAACTCCTTAATATTTCTTAAATACTTAGAATAATACTTACTCTGTAAAAACATGAGTTCGATTTTTGTAATAAGAAATAGTATTTTAATTAATGATGAGTTAGCTAGCTTCTTAGTTGGAGAAATTTTTAACTTCACTGCCCTTATGTAATGTCCATTAAGTAATTTCTTAAAGATAAATTAACTCATAAATGCTGCCCTAAAGTATGTATCTAAAGCATGCCAATGTTGGGCCTCCCTGGTGGTGCAAGAGGTTAAGCACCACACTATGAAGTAATCCACAGCCTATGCAGCACGAGTTTCATCCCTGGCCAGCCAGGGAGAAACCCACATGGTGAGGCAGATCTCTCCTGTCTCGTCTGCTACTCCCCGCGGCAGTGTATTTCAGTCAGTCTGCCTGTTCTGTTCCCCACTCTGTCTCTGTTGGATCCTCTCACTCCCCACATCTCTGGCCTGTACCCCAGCTCTTATATTGGTAAATAAATAAATCTTTTTAAATAATAAAATAAAGCATGCCTATGTTATAGTGTAAATGGATTTTTTTCAGTTTCTGGGGAGAAATAAAACAGCTCTGCAGTAGTTAGAGCTTTATTATTTGGTTTTAAACTTTTTTTCTCAGAATTCCAAGTTATTGATTACGATTAACATTTTTGTGTGGAGTTTTATGAGATCTTTATAAACTCTGATCTCATAAGCTATTCAGTAAATGTAACACCCACTGTGATCAAGTTTGCTTTAGATAGATCTCTCAGTGAACAAGATAATAAACTCAGAATTTCCTTGTTAGTATAAGGAGGTAAATAATAAATATATAAATAGCATTTATTACTGAATAAAGGTATAAAATACTGTAGACCATATTGATTAACAATCTCATTGACCTACACAGAGGGAATATATCTTCTCTATACTTATCTGATGAAAATATACTTACTGTAACCAAACTTAGTTACAGAATGTGATAACATTAATGAATACATTTATATGTTTGTAGGTTGTTCAGACAGATGAAACTGCAAGGAAACCTGACCATGTTCCTATTAGCAGTGAAGATGAGAGGAATGCTATTTTCCAACTAGAAAAGGCTATTTCATCCAGTAGAGCTACCACAAGTAAGGGAAATCTTTATTAAAATGTTTTTGAACTGGAGGGATTTTTGTTTTCATAAATTCTGCACCTGAAAGCTTGTGGGATTAAATAGCAGTAACAGTAACAGCAATAACAGTATAGTTGATTGCATATATTTTTATATATGGATTTTAATATTTTCCAGTCATTTAAAAACAAGCAAGTAAAACCCTAATGTATTTTTTTATTATAAATTATTGTAAAGGCCTGGTCTCAACTTTACCCTTTGAATTTCTTCTCTGAATTGTTAAATTGTTGATGATCTCATTTATAAACACTAAATCCTGTAGTTTTTCATTTTATTTTTTTCACTCAAATGTTTTTCTTCTTATGTGAATTATAAAAATATATCTGGGGGTCTCCCTGGTGGCACAGGGGTCAAGTCTCAGGGCTATCAAGGTATGGCCAGCCACTGCAGCATGGGTTTGATCCCTGGCCAGAGAGCTGCAGACCTCTCTTGTCTTGCCTGCTGCTCCCCTCAGCAGTGTATTTTAGTAGATCCACCTGTTTTGTTCCCCATTCTGTATCTGGTGAATCCTCACACCCCCACACCACTGGCTTCGACCCCAGTTCTTGTATGCATAAATATATAAAATAAATCTTTTTTAAAAAATAAAAACACATCTTAAGATCTTTTGCCCAAATAAGTACTTAAAAATGACAAAAATAAATAAAAGCATAGGGGCCTTCCTGGTGGCGCAGGTGGTTGAGCACAGTGCTGTGAAGCTGTCTGCAGCCTCTGCAGTGCGGGTTTGATCTCCGCCGGCCATGGAGCAACCCACATGGCGGGGCAGACCTCTCCTGTCTCTCGCCTCCGCTGCTCCCCTCAGCAGTGTATTTTGGTCATTGTGCCTATTCTGTTCCCTGCTCTGTCTCTGGTGAATCCTCTCACCCTCCCGCACATCTGGCCTGTACCCCGGTTCTTGTATAAATAAAATAAATCTTATAAAAAAGAAAAAACCTTTCAAAAATAATTAAATAAAAGCATAAAAAAATAAAGGAATTGTGACGAGTAATGAGCTCACACTGCTTTTTACCTAATCAAATATGTAACACTAGGAAATTTTGTTTTCTGGTTATTATGATAGGTGATCTTCAGATGGCAGTGCTTTCATTTGAAAAAGATGATGATAGTAATGGACACATAGATTTCATCACAGCTGCATCAAATCTTCGTGCTAAAATGTATAGTATCAAACCAGCTGATCGTTTCAAAACAAAGCGCATAGCTGGCAAAATTATACCTGCAATAGCAACATCCACCGCTGCAGTTTCTGGCTTGGTGAGTTTATTATTCTTTCAGTGAAAATGGATCTTTTTCATTGCCTCTTCCCTCCGTATAGCACAACCCTCAGTCACTCACTCAGGGATCTTAGAGAAGGAGGGATATGTACTAATCTATTTAATATTTTAAAATGTTTCTGAAAGTACATTGATCAATGTTTTGAGTTTATGCAGATGTATACTTTAATAAAAAAAATAGGCTCTGCCCAGATAGATTATAATTGTTCTTATGGGCAGTAATCTTATAATCATCTTTGTAGCCTCCACATAAAGAAGGCACTCTATTTTTCTTGAATAAAATGAACTGCCTTAATCTTTATTCTATGATTTTATTGATTCTAGTTTTTTACCTAAAAAAATGAAATACCTATTAGTGATTCAGATTAATCTTTCCTTAATGTTTCAGAATCTTTAGATTGGCTTGTTTCTATGCTATACTGTGTAATTCTTAGAAACTATATAATTACCTGTCCCTATATCAGATTATTTTGGACTGTTATATTTCTTGAGTTCTGGTGTCTGCTTTTAAAGTACGTGAATATTTGTTTAAATGAGTTTGCTCACCACATGTAGAACATTTTGAAAGTATGAAATATGCTAAATGGTGAGAGATTTACTCCAGTTCTATAACTGGTTTTACTCTTTGTAGGGAAATACTTGAAAAGAAAGTGGGAAGATTAAATAGACGTCATTAAAGTCATGAATACTTTTAGACTCTATTATGTGCTAACCTTCTTTTACCTAGGTTGCATTGGAGATGATCAAAGTAGCTGGTGGCTATCCATTTGAAGCTTACAAAAATTGTTTCTTTAACTTAGCCATTCCAATTGTAGTATTCACAGAGACATCTGAAGTGAGAAAAACTGAAATCAGGTATGCACGAAGGTCTGTTTTCTTTTGCATAATGAGAATGAAATAAAATGTTTATGTTCTAAAAGATAAAAAAAACAGCTCCATCTCTCCTTCTTTCTATATAAATACTTGCAAGTCATTACTTGAAGACCAGTTCAAAATTCTGTTTTTATGAAATATTTCTGACTAAAATAGACATAGAACTCTCACATTTACTATGCCATACTGTTTAACACTGTACTTTCTTAGGGTTTTGTCTACATCTACCTAAAGCAGATGAATTGGAAGACTTTTAGTTCTAACTGATGGATCATGAGTTAAAAATCTAGTTCCAAAAGCTATATAGCAAAACAGCAATTCCTTGGACCTCTACTTTTCACTTTTCTGATTGGCAGAAATCAAAAATTTGCAAACACCTATCTTGGCACGAGAGAGCAAGTACTCTCATACATTACTGATGAAAGTGAAAAATACTATAACGCATATTAAGGCAAATACAGAATTATAATTCAAATTTGCAGCTACATTAGCACTCATCTTAAGTGATATGTATATGATATATTTTATTCTGGCATGATTTATCATAGCTAAAAATTGGAACATCCCATATGTCCACTAATATGTTACAAGAACATCCACACAATGAAGTGAAAATAATGCAGATATTGAGAGAGAGAACTCTCTAAGATACATTAATTTATAATGAGACACTTGAAGTATCAACAGGTACTGGTGAAAGTGTTACCCTGTGCGGTGTGATGGGGACAAAAGACTATTGAATATTTTAGAAGTTAGATTTTCCCTTTTTTCCTCACATTAATTTCTAGCTATATCACAAATAATGGAATTCTGGGGCTATTACTAAAGGGAAGAAAATTAAAATGTTTTTGTTCTTATATTTTTCTGCAACAGAAATGGAATATCATTTACAATTTGGGACAGATGGATTATACATGGAAAAGAAGATTTTACCCTCTTGGATTTCATAAATGCAGTCAAAGTGAGACTTTTATTCACTTAGTTCATTAGTAACCTTGAGCTTATTAGATTTTCATACATAACTTCATTAGAGGTTTATATATATATTTAATTTTTTAAAAATTTATTTATGTATGTATACAAGAACTGGAGTACAGGCCAGAGGTTCAGGGGGAGGTAAGAGGATTTACCAGAGAAAAAGTGGGGAACAGAACAGGCAGACTGAAATACACTGCCTAGGGGAGCAGCAGGCGAGTCAGGAGAGGTCTGTACACCATGTGGGTAGCCCCCTGGCCAAGGATCAAACTTGTGCTGCAGTGGCTGTGAATAGCTTCATAGTTTGTCTTAACCCCTTGCACCACCAGGGAGGCTGTGTGTGTGTGTGTTGTGTGTGTATTTAAGAGACATTTGTTTGCTCTCTTTTTGCTGGTCATAAGGCTTTCTCACCCAATATTTTGCATTTGAACTGGGTTTGACTATTTGTCTTTGGATATTCTCTTTTAGGAGAAGTATGGAATTGAGCCAACAATGGTGGTCCAAGGAGTCAAAATGCTTTATGTTCCTGTAATGCCTGGACATGCAAAAAGATTGAAGTTAACGTAAGTATTGAAAATTATATGCTAAAGTTTTGTAAGAATTAAAAATTAAACTATATGCACATTGAAAAATTCAATATAGAGGTTACAGAGTTTCAGATAAATGTATGTTATTCATTCTTGTCTGATGGCATTAATAATTACAGTGAATTTACCAACAACAACAGACAACCTCTCCAGAGAGATTCATAGATCACAGTACCCTTGTGAGTTTATTATAGTCAGACTCAGTTTTTCAGCTTAGTAAACTGATATGATCAGTACACCAATTAAAAGTAAATCATCCTGTGAGGTATATGTAATTACCAGGCTAATTAAACTATAATATAAAACAAAATGCCATTCATTGAACAGATTTTCTTTAAAGATGACTTGCTCTGTGCCAGGTACTTTGAGAAGCTTTAGAGTTACAGTTCTTGCCCTACTTAAGGAATTTGCATAACATCTAGACAAGTATGTCTGTGGGATCTTTTGAATAAATTAAGGTTAGTATTTAGAATTCCTTTATTGTGGGGCCTCCCCGGTGGCTCAGCGGTTGAGCGCTTGGCTGCAAAGCTGCCCACAGCCTCTGCAGCGCTGGTTCAATCCCTGGCCACTGGGTGAGGGTCCCACAAGGCGCGCAGACCTCTCCTGCTGCCCGCTGCTCCCCTCAACAGTATACTTCGTCAGTCTGCCTGTTCTGTTCCCTACTCTGGCTCTGGTGAATTCTCTCACCCTCCCGTGCTTCTGACTGTACCCAGTGCTTGTATAAATAAATAAATAAATCTTTTTTTAAAAAAAAAAGAATTCCTTTATTGTGTGCTAGGTAGATGAAAGTGGAATGTGTGGCCCTGAAATGTGTTGTTTAGTGGAATTTAAAATTTACTACCGATTATTGACAAAAATATTGTGCAGAGTTGGTCAATATTTGAGCCCTCCAGCATGACATGGTTTGTAAATATTTCTTCTTTGTTGTTGCTCTATTCATTTGCAGACATTTATAGAGTACTTACAAAGTGCCTGGAGAGGCTTGGCTTCAGAAAGCCTGGATTCACCTCCCTACTCAGCTACTTACTTATTTTCTCACATTGCATAGTTTACTGAGCTTTTTTGAAACTTTGTTCTGTATTCACAATACAATTAGGGGTGATTATGCCCATTGCTGTTGAGCTGTAAAGTAATATAATAAGGGCTAAGAAGTATAATGATAATTAAGAAGCATTCCAAAACAGTTGGTATTTAGCATGTTAATATTTTGTCATTATACATCTTTATCAAACAGCCCTTTCCTTCATTGAGTTCATTCTGTTAAGAGATAGTAACCTGTTAATCAGTAATTAAAATATAATTAAATAATCATTACATAAACGTTTTTAAGAGTTTTATGGACACCATTAACTGAAACCTTCTACTTGGATAGATTTCATTTGAGCTACCTTTGAAAAAGGATTAACAGGCAAAAGCAATAGTTTTCACAAAGGCATGTGGCTAACAAAGACTATGATCTTTTGGAAAATCAGATATTTTTAAATGAATTATAGATAAGGTGGTAAGAATGGATAGTAGAAAGAATGGAGAATAATATTATGGGGGGAAAAGTTTTGTAAAATGGGAAGAGCTATATTGATGATTAAATAGATTGTGTAGGTCAGAGCCTGGCATGAGATAGGTACATGATATATGGTAGATAACATTAGGCAGGAGAATAATACCAAATTTACATTCTTAGAGAATTTTGACAGCATAGTAGATTGGAGGTAAAAGACTGATGACAGCTGACTAGAGGCTAATGCAATAATCTAAGGAGTATTTGTTTAGATAATAATTTGATTCAAGATAATAGTAGTGACTAATAAAAAAGAAGTGGTTTTAGTAAATCGGATTACAGGGAAAGGTTAAAAAAAAAAGTCTTATAATGATGCTTCTAGTTTGCATTTGACAATTTAAATCTAACTTGTTTTTCTTTACAGAGAAAAACTTAAAAAGAATTTATCATGCCTCTAAACTTTATAAGGAGGATAGAGAATTTGTTTTTTAAAAGCATTGCTTACATTTTGGGGTTTCCTTGAGGGTTTTATGTATGTTTTAGAGGGTTTTGGCTTTTAATAAATGGTCTGTATTCCTTATTGTTACCAGCTGTAGTGTATATTGATTTACTGTAAGGTAAATGAATTTCTTTGAGTGTACAGCTTTTAGTACTAAAAGTGAATATGTGAAAGTAGGTGGATTATTAGATTTAAAAATAAATTAAAGTCTAGATGCTCTTGAGTAGCATTAGTCAACAAATCTTTCATTTTGCATAATTTACCAAATTTTTTGCTATTGCTTATTTTTCTTAGAATGCATAAACTTGTGAAACCTTCTTCTGAAAAGAAATACGTGGATCTTACTATTTCATTTGCCCCAGACACTGATGGAGATGAAGATTTGCCTGGACCTCCAGTAAGATACTATTTTAGTAACAACACTGATTAAGAGACGTTATCTGAAAATTTCTCCATGACTACTTGATTTTAAAAAGTCTGTGTTTCAGAAACTGAAAAAAAATCAATTCATAATACCATGGATTTATCTTTGATGACGCCTTAATTTAAGGGACGTATCAGTAGAAAACTACCATGAAGAATAGTAAAACATTTTCATGCATAGTATACACTGTCTAAGTGCTTCCTATGCAGATATGATCACAAGCAACTTTGAACTGGAATGCCATTTTATAATGCTTACAACTGATTTGTATATAAACTTGTCTGGGAGAAAAGAAGGAACAAATATGTACACATAACCAGAAGAAATAAAAGATCAAGAAATTGAAAATATCAAATGCAACTATCCAAAAAGTTGAATCCCACCATAAGAATTTCTTTTTCATTTAGTATTTGAGGCCCATTTATCTATATAAATAGTATTTGGCTCCTTGCATCTCTCATGACTAGGCTTTGAATTTAACACCAGCAGAAAGAGGAAGGACAGTAGTAGTAGATGAAGAATAGATATTTTAAATTGTACAGTTACAGTTTACTGTTCTGATACCTCTGTTGATTTAGCCAGAATTTGTTGTATCACTGTCTCCTCAAAATCTGAATCTTTGTTGACAACATCAGTGTTGTAAGCCATGAGCAGGAGGTCAGATAGCACATGTTAACTCAGACTAAATGTTAACAGTATTATATGAATTTTGACGGCCTTAGAGAATCCGTGAATGTGAACAAATAAATGTGGCTAATCATTTGATTATTCAGTATGCTTTCTAATGTGGCTAGTTTATTTATTTGGAACTCTAAACCTGATTTCCATAGTTCCTAAGACTAAAAGGTTTTGTAAAGGGAGAGTTCTCAGTATACGAAAAGTAGAAATCAAAAAATCACCACTAGTTAATTCTTGATTTTTTTCCTTCCCACAACTTACGGACAGAAAAAAATAATAATATTTTATTTTAAAGGGAAAAACATTGTTTTATTCTGCATCCCCAGAAAGGGAGTTGATAAAAATAAAAATTTATTTTTTTAGATCTTTATCAATAGAAAATTTCTGTTTTCTGATATGAACTATGATAGATATTCATATAAATGCTTTCATTAAAATGACAGTAAAGTATATTCAACACTGTAAACTCATTGATTACAGCAAGTGTTTCTCTTATTTTTAAGACTATCATGCATTCTAAAGCAATTGGCATTGTATAACCAGAGGAAGTCATTTCCCTCTAGATGATTTTTTTCACTCTCCTGTGCAGAGCATTAGAAAGTACGTAAACTAAAACTAGGTTTACACCAGTCTTTCTCCAATTTGATCTCTTTTTATAGTCTAGATTTTATTTACAAGTAGTTTATATTGTTTTGTCAATCAGCTGTATTGTTTCATTCTTTTGTAAAAGAAATACAGTTGGGAAAATAAATTTGAGATTGGAAGGTGAATTTGCATGATTAAAGGATCATTTGTGTGTTTGGAGGTAAAGAGAAATGGACAAGACGAATTTAAAGGAAACAACTAACTTTGAAACAATAATTTTTGTTTGTCGTATCCTACCCTCTCCCATTATGCATAGCACAAGTATAATCCTTAAAATTGAATCTCGGAATATCATATTCTCTTGTTTGGGACTATAGACACTAGAAATAATAAAGCGACTTGTCTGTAATAAACCTTTTCCCCACTTTTATTTTGTGTTCTATGACAGTAATTTCTGTTTTTCAGGTAGCCATTCAGTGATCCCCATATTTGATCTAAATCTCCATATGTTCTCTGGAAATAAATTTAGAACTATGCTGTCAGTTTTATTTATAGGGAGCAGTGCTTTAGCAGATATAAACAAAATCAACCAAGTTTAGGTTCATTTTGTGATTAAACCTGAAACCATTTTGTCATTGCTTTCTTTTTCCTGTTGATAACAGATATTACCATTAATTTCTCTAATTCTACTAAGCTGGAAAGCCAGGGTGAGCTTAATGACAATTATTATTCTGTTTTGTTTTTTTCTGTACCATGAGATCACTGTTGGTGATTGATATATAAAATGCAAAAATTGATTTTGTATGGTACCACTGAATAATTTTTTACTTATTAAAAATAAATTAAGAACTTTGACAATATCTTTTGTAAATCCTGTTCCTTAGTTAACTCCAAAGATTCTGATTGTGCTATTCATTTTGTATTTTTGCTATGGTGTTTCCAAGCAAAAGTTCCAAGTTTTGCAACTATGAAGGTATAGATAGTATTCACTGTGTGTAGAGGGACATTACTTCAAAGTGCTTTGGGCTACTGAAATTCTACTGAAACAGTTGCGGGGGGGAATGGTAGTAACCAAATGAACTGTAGGTCTGGTAAATTACAGACTTTGGGGGGGATGTCCAAAGTCCATTCCATTTTAGAGTTCAAAGCGGTTATGTTACTCATATGTTAATAAGTTCCTCTAAATTAAGTTCCTAAAAGTATTGCTTAGAAATAGTGAAGACAGTTTTGTATCATCGTCTTTATATTTTGTCTGTTATTGCTCTCTCTGGTGGTACTAATGACAAGGCATAAAAATGACAATAGTGTTTAGAGTTAGTTTTCTAATTAGTAAAATGAAGAGAGAAAATTGTTCTCTTGTGATTTTGAGTAAAATATCTTGACCTAATAATTATTTAGGTTTCTTGACCTGAAAATTCTCATCACCTAATGAGTACTTTTAACAAATATGGAAACAGGAAGTAGAGATGTTGGGGTTTGGCATAAGTAATCAGTGGCTAATTTGTTCATGTTTGTTTTGCTCTTAGCATTTCCTACCTTTTTTTTTTTTTTTTTTAACTGAGGAACATACATTGAAAAAATATATATTCAAAGAAGAATATAAAACATTTAAAAATTTGGAATTGGAAGATTATAAGGTAACCAGTTGTATAACCAGCTCTGAAGTCAATAGAACATTGACAGCAGCCCAGAAATTTCCTTATATCTTTCTAATTAACAGCTAGCTTCCCCACACATAACCTCTGGCAATTACCATTGGTCCCATCTTTTGTGATATCTTTGTCTTTGGTTTTATTTATAGTATTACACCTATGTATATACCTAAACAATAAAATATATTTTTGTTGACTTTTTTAATCTTACATAAATGGAATAATATTGTATTGTCTTTTCACTGCTTCTTTTATTCACTATAGACTTCATCCTTGGTGCTTATAGTTATACTTTTCATTGCCATTGCTGTATAATTTACCTTTTACATTAATATACTACATTTATTCATTGATTGCTGTGGACAATTGGAATGTTTTTAGTGTGGGACAGTCACAGTTATGCAATGAACATTATTGTATGTATCTCCTGTTGCAACTGAGGTATATACCTATGGAATTGCTTAGTCACACAATACTACATCTTTTTTTTTTTTTTTTTAATAGAGGCATCTTTTATTTATTTATTTATTTTATTTGTTTGTTTATACATGCACTGGGTACAGTCAGAAGCGCGGGAGGGTGAGAGAATTCACCAGAGCCAGAGTGGGGAGCAGAGCAGGCAGAAGGACTGAGGTACACTGCTGAGGGGAGCAGCGGGTGGCAGGGGAGGTCTGCGCCATGTGGGATCCTCCTCCGGTGGCCGAGGAGCAGCCGGGGATCGATCCTCCTCCGGTGGCCGAGGAGCAGCCGGGGATCGAACCGGTGCCGCAGAGGCCGCAGGCAGCTTCGCAACCCAGCGCTCAACCGCTGCGCCACCGGGGAGGCCCCAATACTACATCTTAAATCCTACTAGATAACAAAGTTTTCCCTGAGTAATGTAGATGTTCTGTATATCCTCTCAACACTGATATAAAGAGATTATTTTTAAATTTTGCCAATCTGGTGAATATGCAGTTGTATCTCATTCATATTTTGTTCTGCATTTCCCTAGTTATTAGTGAAATTGATCACTTTTTCAAAAAGTCTATTAACCACTTTTTTTTTATAAAGTATATACAACTTTTTTACCCACTTTTCTATTGTGTTGGCAATCTTTTTCTTCATTGATTCATAAAGATCTTTTTAAGTCCTGTTCTTTGGTAGCTAGAAAATAGTTTTTCTCTCACTCTTGCCTTGCTTTTTTTCTTCTGTGTTACTATGATTTGACTTAAAAAAAATTGTTAATAGTTAGGTACTGAAAAGTATTACTTTTTTTGTTTTAAATGGTTAGAATTTTTTGTGAATTGTTTAAAAAAATATTTTTCTACCCCAAGGTCATGAAGATAACCCTCTGTTGTCTTCTACAAGTTTAGTTTTGCCTTTCACATGTATGTTTTTAATTCATCAAGATTTTGTGTATGCTGGGAATTGCCTCACTGACATTTATTGAAGTCTTTTTTTCAGTGCCACTAAGAGTCATATATCTGATGGTATCAGCAGGCCCTCATTCTGGACCCTAGGTGGGCTTCCTCATTCTCACCCCTGTATCAACCTTTCGTATTGGATGGTAAGAAAGCTAAATTAGTGGTAAGAAAGCTAAATTAGTGGATAATTATTAGGTTAAAAACTGGGAAGAAGTAGAAATTCATAGTGGTGAACCTTTCATTTGTGACCTCTTGTATTTGGGGCCTTTAATGCATTTGGAAGAGGCTACTGAGAAACTGAACAATTAAGACTATGGATTCAAAGGGAAAGTACTTCTTTCTAAATTGTTTGTTCCTTTTCTGTCCCTGTGCTACTAGTATAGTGTGTCTGTCACTGTAGCTGGTACTGTGTTTGATATTTGGAAGAACAAGTCTTCTCACCCTGGTCTGTAAGAGTATCTTGGTTATTATTAGCCCTTTGTATTTTCAGTTCTCAAATTTCTAATCACGGATATGTAAATTGGTCAGTCTTACAAATTTCACTTGTCTTGCTAACATTTTCACCTTTCATCCACCTGAACATGAAAACCATTGTTATTTATTGTATGCACTTAACAATTCCCAAATCTAAAATTCTCATGTAGTTGTTTCTTAATTTTATTTCAGCTAACCCCCCTTTTTTATCTTTTATCTTTGTGTATATGGTTATCTCAGTGCCAATGTAACCATTGAAAAATTGTTTATAGAAATAATTTGATGCCCAGCATGATGTTTTCATCCTCCACAGATTTTTTTTTTTTCATATGCTGTGTCAGGCACTTAGGCATTAGTAATCTAGAATCATTTTGACCCAATTTCAGGGACAGATTTTTCTGAATTATCCATGTGACTCAGAGCCAAGCTGTGGACTGTACTTGTGCTGTTATTTCCTGTTAACCCTTACTCCAATAATCCTTTAGTGTTCCAAATGTGGGTTGGGATTGCCAGGGTCCCCACATATTGGCCACCACTAGACTTTCCCTTTGAATCCATAGTCTCTTAATTGTTCAGTTTCTCAGTAGCCTCTTCCAAATGCATTAAAGCCCCCAAATACAAGTGGTCACAAATGAAAAGTTCACCATTATGAATTTCTACTTCTTCCCAGTTTTTAACCTGATAATTATCCACTAATATAGCTTTCTTACCATCCAATACGAAAGGTTGATACAGGGGTGAGAATGAGGAAGCCCACCTAGGGTCCAGAATGAGGGCCTGCTGATATCATCAGAAAACAGCTCTGTTCCTCATCAAGCCAGTTCCCCCAGATGCAAGCCCGATTTCCCTTTCCCCCCCTATAAAAACCTGCCTTCCCCTGACAATGGGTGTGACTTCACCTACCCCCACCTTGGGTCCGTGAATCCCGCTGGGGGCACAATAAATTTTCCCTGCCTTTGAGAAAATTTAGCCTGGCTCTCCTTTACTGCGTTGAACCTTTCACGATATGTTTTAAAATATATTTTTAAAAACCTGTCTAAATATCCTGGAAAATGTTATTCTAAATTAGCCTACTTTATTTCCTGTTGATTATTTGTAAAATATAATTTATTTATTTCTTTTGCTTCTGTGTCTGAAAACAGCTATAGATTCTTATGGATTATTTGCAAATTCTTTATATGCTATATAATGTTCAAATAGAGATGTTGTTTAGTCTTTTCTAAGATCCAGATTTTGGTTTTGTTGATCCCCTCTATTGTATGCTGCTTTTCTATTTCACTAATTTCTGCTCTTATCAATATTATTTGTTTCTGTTTTCTTTGGGGTTTCCACTGTTCTTGTTCCTAATTTCTTGAGATAGGGATATTTACCTCCTTTATGGATTTCAACTTTGCAAATTATATATTTAGAAGTACAAATATATTACTAATTACTAATGTATTTTAAGTATATTTGTAATTACTACTAAATTTTTATAATACTATAATTGTTTTTGTAACCATATTCTATAATTTTTGATATAACATTAATAATTTTTTTTTCTTTTTTCATTAGTTCGAGTCAGTTTTTTAAGTGTTCCATAGAGTTTGAATTTAGGAGTTTTTTTTTTTTTTTCATAAAGATTTTGTTTTTGCATCCAAGAACTGGGGCGCAAGCCAGAGGTGCAGGTGGTGAGCAGATTCACCAGAGGCAGAATGGGGAGCAGAACAGGCAAATCTACTAAAATACACTGTAGAGGGAAGCAGAGGGCAAGACAGGAGAGGTCTGCTGTGCCATGTGGGCTGGCTCCCTGGCCTCAGATCAAACTTACGCTGCAGTGGCTGACGATAGCTTGTTAGCGCTGAGACTTTTGCCCATGAGCCATCAGTGAGGCCCAAATTTAGGAGGTTTTTATTTTTATTTTTTTAATTTTTTTAAAGATTTTTTTTATTTATTTATACAAGAACCGGGGTACAGGCCAAATGCGCGGGAGGGTGAGAGGATTCACCAGAGACAGAGTGGGGAACAGAACAGACAGCGGGCATGACAATGTTAACAGGGTGGTCCGCAGGAAAGGTGGGAGGTTCCCTGCCCCACCCAAGGGAGGGTGGAGCTGAGCAGGGAGAGGAGAAGCTGCAGAGGAGACTGAGGAAAGAAGCAAGTTGGAGCCAGAAGGAGACCTGGAGGAGGCACATGGAGCCTAAAGACACGTGAAGAAACTGCGCTTGTCTTTTGGTCGTGGACTGGGTGATACAGATGTGGGTAAGACCCGTGGGGAGGTGACCATGGCAGTTTTTATCTTGATTTTGATTTTGCTCTTTTCCTTCTGGGCTTCTCTGGTTGTTTCTGACCCTTTTCTGTGGGTCCCCACTGGAAGGTGCTGTAGACTTGTGGCAGGCTTTGGGGCCTTGCTCTGGGCCAATCCCATTTGGATGGAGTTTTACCCACGAGGGGACGGGTAACTTTGGGTGCTTGATTTAGAAACTATATTCTTTGCCTTTCCTGTATTGTTTCCTAATTGTATTAAAGTTCCTTCCCATTAAAGTCTCATATGTTTTGTGTTGATGCGGCGGATGGCAGAACCCATTTAGAATAGGCAGGTTTGCAGGGTTTGGACTGCCGCTCTCCCTGCCCTATAACAACAGGAGAGGTCTGTCATGCCATGTGGGACCCTTGCCTGCTGGCGGGGATGGAACTGGCGCTGCAGAGGCTGCGGGCAGCTTCACAGCATGTCGCTCAATGCCTGCACCACCAGGGGAGGCCCAGGAGTTTTTTAAATACAATTCAACAATCTTGATTTTTAATCGGAACACTTAGGCCATTTACATTTAATATACTTACAGATGTATTTAGATTTATTTATGCCACTTTATGGGTTTTTTGGGTTTTGTTCTAGCCCTGTTCTATAATTCTATTTTTCTATTTTTTTGTCTTTTTAAATTTGTATTTTACTTAGTTTATTCCATTTATAGCAATCATTAATTTGTTACCGCTCAATTCTATACATCCTGTTGTATTCTGGAATTTGCAATCTCTT